CAATTTTTTTCCCATTTTTTCTTCCTTGGTATGTTCCCATGAAAACGGCATGTTTAATTTTGTAAATACCTTTAACCGAGACTGGGCAAAGACCGTAGAGTTTCTGGACTTTTGGGTTTCCAGAATTAAAATGGGACGTGTTGTTTGTGAAATGCTGGACTTCCTGGTAGATAACCGTTGTTTTGAATCACCTTGATTATGACTCTTGATGTGACAACAACTTGGTGGGGCCAGCATCAAACTAAAACCTAACTTACACGCTAGGAATCACACACTCACTCACTAACAATATAAGCTGAACTGTATTTCAACGAGCAGATAAAGTGATTTTCAGATAAAACCTCATTTTATCGCCTTCTTCTTCCTAATATCAAACTCACAAGTGCTATTGCACACTCTGATACTACTTTTGTTGGATCTGGTCTTTCGTCACCTGTTCCAGAAAGTTCTGGCTTTTTCAAAACTAACAAAGTATTCCATATATTCTGCAATTGCTCCGGGATATATAGTATAGGTAGAGCGAGTGAGTGAGTGAGTTGGGTTTAACGCCGCTTTTAACAGTATTCCAGTTATATCACGGCGTGTCAGCTTAATGTGGGAGGAAAGCCCGAAGTGATGCATGTCTCAGACGTTTACCACTTCGGTGAAACCCACGAGCACGGGTATGGTGCTGACAAACCTAGAAACATACTCGGGGCGAACTGGGATTCGAACCTACAATATATAGGTAGATGATGACAATATTTCAATTATGTATACGTTGTTATTTGTTTTGCAGATTGACCCCCAATGGCTCTCAAAGACTACGTTCCTTTGTTACTTCTCATGACCATATCCAATGGAGGAAACGCCAACAAACCCTGTTTGCCATGCACATGTTCCAAAATAATGCATGAAGACTGTTACTATGCGAACTGTTCCTACCTGAATTTGACGGCGATTCCACCGACACTGCACCGCGAGATATGTTATCTGAATCTCCATGGAAACGTAATCACTACCCTTAATAACTCGGATTTAAACTATTATACAATGTTGACTTCCCTTGATCTCTCCTCTAATGTTTTGTCTGAAGTCCAAAATGACACATTTAACAGTGTTGGGGATTTGGCCTTTCTTGACCTGTCCACAAATAGACTCAACTTTACGTTCACATCATCACAGATATTCTCTCCCTTGACGAAACTGAAAGTTTTGAACATCAGCAACAATACTTATCTCGACATCCCTGATATGATCCTGTGTCATCTGATGTCTCTTGAGCGTCTCACCATGGATGGTTTTCAAAGTCCTATTGGTAATGGATGTGGTGTGATGTACAATCTTACATACCTATCCCTATCTGGTGAAAATGGGCGTTGCAAAATTTATTACTTGTCCGAGGACTTAGTTCAAAACGTCCTGATGCTGGAGTATCTTAATGTTTCTTATTGTAAAATCTTTACGGTAAAACCTGGAGCTCTTTCCTTCTTGCGGAACATTGACACTCTAGATATATCAGGTAACACCTACTTAAAATTCAAAGGAGTCGAGAATGCTACGACTGGACTTGATAAATCAAGACTGAGAAAACTTTATATTAACCAGATGGTGGGAAAACATACTATTTGTGTTTTGGTGCCACAATCGATTGGTTTAAATCTTCAAAATACTTCCCTGGAAACAATAGAGGCTAACGACAACCGTATCGAATTAATTCACGAAGATGTGTTCAGGCTGTTGCCAAATACACTAAAGACTGTCAGTATCAGGAACAACCGTCTCACCTACGGTGCATACATCTGGTATCTACAGAACCTGACAGGACTAGTGTCTCTGGACTTGAGTTCAACGAGGGGACTTCACAAGTTACCATTTGCAGAACCGGATAACTATTCCAGAGACCTTTCTTCTCACCATCAAACTGACAATTGTTTAACAACACCAAGAAGAGAGATATATTTGGGAGATTTTCTTCATGAAAGGTCACTGGAACATCAACAGAACATCACACCCTATGGTGTTCCACCTAAACTGAAAACCCTGAAGTATACAGATTGTAAATTAGCATATGATTTGTCGAAATTATATTTTGCTGAAAATAGCCTGAGGCATGTTGATCTGTCTTATAACATTTTTGCTCTGTGGTTTGGTCCTGTATATGGTTTAGAAAATGTTACCCATCTTGACCTCTCAGGAAATCTTGCAATGTATATCAAAAAAGATTTTTTTGTAAACTTTCCGTCACTTACACACCTAAATATATCCCACAATGCTCTCAAAATGTCTGATAATGGGCAATATTTACGGAATCAAAGCAAAGTAGAAGTTTTAGATTTGTCCCTCAACAATATATTGTTCTTGAATCGCGATTTCCTATCAGGACTGAAATCATTGAGGACATTGAATCTTTCTTATAACTATATGGACAGCCTGTTTGTAGATCTTGAAAATAACTTAAATCTTACGAGTATAAATTGTTCAAACAACAACATCAAATATATCTCACGACGAACGAGATTCCAGATGGACAGGATAGCCGAGTTACACGAGTTTACAATAGACCTTTCGGGAAATGACCTCCGATGCACATGTCAAAATATAGAATTTCTTGAATGGTTACTAAACTCCAAAATTCAGGCAGCAAACAAAGAACTGTATCATTGCGTAGACATTAATGGGAAAGTGATACACTTTAAAGGTCATGACGTACTAAAGAATCTGAAAGCGTCTTGCGCTAACTTCATAGCCCTGTCTATGGGACTAATTGTAACAATCGTCCTGATCTTTTCTCTGATAGTGGGAACTATTTGTTATCGATATCGATGGAAAATAATTTACATTTATTATGTGTTCAAACTGAGACTAAGAAACAACATTGAGTATGAACGTATTTACGATTATGACGTTTACGTGTCTTACGCTGACCTTGACCTTGATTTTGTCCGCAAGGACATGATTCCAAAGCTAGAACACAAGCGGGGTACGAGACTTTACATCCGGGATCGAGATTCCCTCCCAGGAGCTACTATTGCTGAGAACATCATCGACGGGATAAGGAGCAGCAAGAAAACTGTGTTGTTGTTGTCCCAGGCGTTCCTGAAGAAGAAGTGGTGCAGGTATGAGTTACACATGGCCAACATGGAGAGCGTGTCTACTGGCCGATCTGTGATGGTCATCATTATGCTTGAGGATATTCCTAATAAGGACATTCCACCCGAGATCCTCTATGATGTGCAGAACAGCCGTTTCATAGACTGCCCAAACGATAGCAGCGATCAGGAACTGTTCTGGGCAAATGTGTCCGCGGCGATTGATAGTTAGATTGTTTTGTAGGTTATCTTTTATATATACATAGAGATTATGATACGAGCATGTGTGTCACACTGATGTTACGAAACGAATGTCAGAATTTGTGTATTTCACGAGCGAGAGCGAGGGTAATACATGAATTCTAACACGAATTTCGTAAAATCAGTGTGAGACACATGCGAGTGTAAAAATTTCTTTATAACTCATTATTTTGAGCTCTGCTCTCATCACGACCGTCGTGTTAGTAAAGCATATTTGTCGACTGAGTCCGGATGACGGAAACAATACACTGGCTGGAGTGAAGTGATTTTTTTTTATGAATTTAAAAAAAATAATTCTAACACTATGGGTAATAAAAAATGTTACGGGACAAACGCGAATTTGCACAATAACTCTCATTAGTTTGTAATAATACTTCTAGAGGAATATCTTAATTTTAGTCAGTCTTAAAATACATCTACAGTCTAACGGTATTGTTCTTCTTTAATGCCTGTTCCAGGTATGCATGAACATGCATATGATATATATGTGTTCCACCATTGAGTCACAGAAATCTGGTTCGAACTTGAAAGACAAAAAATGAAAATGATGTGTCTCGTTAGGGTTTTCGTTAGACTGTGAAATACATGCAAGCGGCAACATACATTTGTATGTGTTACACTGGTTTTGACTCTTTTCCAAAGGCAGTATACAAGTAACTGTATTATAGATATGTTAATTTCCCTCGTGAAATCACAGCAATCGTGTTATGGCAACTGACAAAATTTTGATGTTGGTTAATACGAAATAATGTTAATTGTAAATCCATATAAGCATCGAAATGCATGTAAATAAAGATTGTTTGGATTTTTAAATTGTTACAATTGTATGTTTGATAGTTGGATTTGGCTGTTTTCACTGTTCCGAAATAGTTATGTTACGACATTTAACAACATTCGCATTTTCACTTTTTAATGACAAAAACATTTGCATAATCTTGACATTGTACGATTTCGACAATATCTGATTCCGAACCGTGCTGTTGCCCTGTGTGTATGTGTGGACAAAACATATAATTTCATTACAGGAGTTCCTTGTTGATTAGTAGTCAATGTCGATATTTAACCTTTGATCAAGGAAATATGCTGACTTCAATACCACAGGCATTTTACGTTGAATTCAGAGTAGTTTAAAAAATCAAATATCAGTGAAAGGTTCGGCTTTAATCAACAGGCTGTCCCACTGCTCATGTTGGTGATGGAGGTATTAACAAAAGGAGGCATAAATATAGCAACGTCGAAGCAGGAAAATCGTGTCATAATATTTGTGACAGAGGAAAACTTTGACAATCAGCTTATTGATTATAAGCCACTGTTGGTGCGACACAACGTTTCTGTAATCAAAGTCATATGAGCCTTTTCAACAGTTCCTTAACTAGATGGTGTTCAACGAACAATGGTCATGAGTGAGTGAGTGAGTGAGTTGGGTTTAACGCCGCTTTTAACAGTATTCCAGTTTTATCACGGCGTGTCAGCTTAATGTGGAAGGAAAGCCCGAAGTGATGCATGTCTCAGACGTTTACCACTTCGGTGAAATCCACGAGCACGGGCATGATGCTGACAAACCTAGAAACATACTCGGGGCGAGCCGGTATTCGAACCCACAATCATAGGTTTCTGGCGTGCCCAAGGGACGCAAGTCTGCACAGCGAATCGCTGCGCCCTAGACGCCTGGGCCACCCGTGCCCCCACCATGGGTCATGATACAAATAGGCTGATGATACATGTGTGTAGACTTCGCAGCTGGAACTTGTCACTGACCTTATCTGTGAGTCCAGTCACACTGATAGCAGGGTTTATTATACAGGTCACCCTGTTGCGTAGTGCTGCATCGCTGCCATGTTAGCTTTATTGCTGCTGTTCTCCCTCCTTCACTATGGCAGCACATTTGACCCTGGGTGCAGCTTCATGAACGGTCAGTGTGTGTACAGTGTCAAACTCGGTCACGAAGGTCAATGCGACGCTCAGACCACTGCCGCCACCACCGCCTCCACTTCCTGCTGTAGTGCTGTAGAAGATGACGTCGCGCTGATGAAGGCGTCCATGTCGCTGATGACGAAGCAGATTGCGCAGCTTCAGAATACGGTAGATTATATTATAAATCAATTGACGTAAGGTTGCAAGATTTCAGTGTGTTGTAAGTTATATAATTAGCTAGTGCGTGATGTAAGGTTACAAGACTTCAGTTTACGGTAAGTTATATCATAAGCCAGTGCGTGATGTATGGTTACAAGACTTCAGTCCACGGTAAGTTATAGCATAAGCCAGTGCGTGATGTATGGTTGCAAGACTTCAGTTTGAGGTAAGTTATATCATGAGCCAGTGCGTGATGTATGGTTACAAGACTTCAGTTAACGGTAAGCGATATCATGAGCCAGTGCGTGATGTAAGGTTACAAGGCTTCAGTTTACGGTAAGCGATATCATGAGCCAGTGCGTGATGTAAGGTTACAAGGCTTCAGTTTACAGTTAGTTCTATCATGAGCCAGTTCCTGATGTAAGGTAACAAGACTTCAGTGTACGGTAAGTTCTATCATGAGCCAGTGCGTGATGTAAGGTTACAAGGCTTCAGTTTACGGTAGGAGATATCATGAGCCAGTGCGTGATGTAAGGTTACAAGGCTTCAGTTTACGGTAAGCGATATCATGAGCCAGTGCGTGATGTAAGGTTACAAGGCTTCAGTTTACAGTTAGTTCTATCATGAGCCAGTTCCTGATGTAAGGTAACAAGACTTCAGTGTACGGTAAGTTCTATCATGAGCCAGTGCGTGATGTAAGGTTACAAGACTTCAGTTGACGGTAAGTTATATCATGAGCCAGTGCGTGATGTAAGGTTACAAGGCTTCAGTTAACAGTTAGTTCTATCATGAGCCAGTGCGTGATGTAAGGTAACAAGACTTCAGTGTACGGTAAGTTCTATCATGAACCAGTTCGTGATGTATGGTTACAAGGCTTCAGTTTACGGTAGGAGATATCATGAGCCAGTGCGTGATGTAAGGTAACAAGACTTTCAGTGTACGGTAAGTTCTATCATGAGCCAGTGCGTGATGTAAGGTTACAAGGCTTCAGTTTACGGTATGTTATATTATGAGCCAGTGCGTGATGTAAGGTTACAAGGCTTCAGTTTACGGTAAGTCATGTCATGAGCCAGTGCGTGATGTAAGGTTACAAGACTTCAGTTTACGGTAAGTTATACCATGAGCCAGTGCGTGATGTAAGGTTACAAGACTTCAGTATACTGTAAGTTATATCATGAGCCAGTGCGTGATGTAAGGTTACACGGCTTCAGTTAACAGTATGTTATATTATGAGCCAGTGCATGATGTAAGGTTACAAGACTTCAGTTTACGGTATGTTATATTATGAGCCAGTGCGTGATGTAAGGTTACAAGGCTTAAGTTTACGGTAAGTAATGTCATGAGCCAGTGCGTGATGTAAGGTTACAAGACTTCAGTTAACAGTTAATTCTATCATAAGCCAGTGCGTGATGTAAGGTTACAAGGCTTCAGTTTACGGTAAGAGATATCATGAGCCAGTGCGTGATGTAAGGTTACAAGACTTCAGTTTACGGTATGTTATATTATGAGCCAGTGCATGATGTAAGGTTACAAGACTTCAGTTAACAGTAAGTTCTATCATAAGCCAGTGCGTGATGTAAGGTTACAAGACTTCAGTTTACGGTAAGTCATGTCATGAGCCAGTGCGTGATGTAAGGTTACAAGGCTTCAGTTTACGGTAAGTCATGTCATGAGCCAGTGCGTGATGTAAGGTTACAAGACTTCAGTTTACGGTAAGTTATACCATGAGCCAGTGCGTGATGTAAGGTTACAAGACTTCAGTATACTGTAAGTTATATCATGAGCCAGTGCGTGATGTAAGGTTAATTTGTACACGTTCAGAGTTTTTGACAATACGCGAGGTATGGTTGTATATCTTTAGATTACGATAGGGTATGTCATGTCATGCTACGTTTATAACAAACACGCCTTTAACAATATGACGGATTACACGAACTCATCTTTGTCCATGACATTTTCTGTATATGTGCTGTACATATGCTTCTAACGAATCACGGTTATACCGAACTAAAATTAGTGGCCCCTTTGTGTTCATTATAACCGTAGTTCACTGTATTTAAACACTGACCAATACATCAGAACCAGATGCAATATTATACACGTTTGAATTCGTCCTAACATAATGCCTACGAATAGAGCAGTTTTACATGGAAGACTTTAAGTACACGATAGCGGCATCTAACGTTATTTAAACACCGAAATGTCATAACAATCAGGACGTTTGAAATTGAAATAGAGGAAGATGATTATGTTTCTGAAAACGCAAAAACATATAGCATCGTTGGCCCTGAAAGGATCAAATTGGCATGAAAGAAGATCTTCTTATAAATTAGAAGCTTGGATAAGCCACGCCTATTCGAGGAGTTGCGTTACTGTACAGGCGAATTGTGTTTTAGGCCGCAGTCAACAGTTTTCAATGGGGGATTCCGGCTTAGAATTGGACCACAGCAACGTATAATGGCCGTATGGGGCGACTAATCGGTGGTCTTGCTCGGTGTCCTGATTGATATCGTGTCAACGTACACCGAATTCGTGGGTCGTTGCTAACAATAGCATTGAACAACACATACTGACACACGCACTGACACACAGACACACATACACACATATACACACGCAGACACACACATACACACACATACATGTACACAGACACACACATACACAGACAGACAGACATAGAATGTCCCCACACATACTAAATGTAATATAGCACAATACATTTTCCAGAATGGAGGCCAGTCAACGTCTCCACTTGGAGACTTAAGCGTTGAACAGCTCCAGAAGGCTTTGTCAGATCAAGAAGAACAACTTAGAAACGTCACGAAGGATGCATCATATGAGATCAGTCGTCTACATAACGAGCTGGACGCTTGTAGAAAGCGACCAGACTGTACCAAGAGCACCCCTAGTAATACGGCTACAGTTGCGACTACCAGCACTACTGCCACCAGCACGACTGCCACCGCCACCAAGACCACGACTACGACCACTGCCTCTCCCGGTTTGTAGAGAGAGAGAGAGAGAGAGAGAGAGAGAGAGAGAGAGAGAGAGAGAGAGAGAGAGAGAGAGAGAGAGAGAGAGAGAGAGAGGGAGGGAGAGAGAGAGACACAGAGAGAGGGAGAGAGAGAGACAGAGAGAGAGAGCGAGAGAGAGAGGGGGAGAGAGAGAGGGAGGGAGGAAGAGAGGGAGGGAGAGAGAGAGAGAGGGAGGGAGAAAGAGAGAGAGGGAGGGAGAGAGGGAGAGAGAGAGAGAGAGAGGGAGGGAGAGAGAGAGAGAGAGAGATTTCACCATTCCTGACCAACTCGTGTTATTCCGGGACAAGCCGAATGGCGACTCGTGCCCCTCTCGTGGCCATTTTATGCGACCGGGTTCCGTCTAAGCGCAAACGGGCATACCTAAAACAATTGCGTAATGCTTCACATATATTTCCTCATATATTATATATATTTCAGATGCAATTTATAGCACATCTGGACATACGGAATTATACAGTATGATTGAACACATTTAACTGTGTCATGGGTATATTTTTAGATACAAGACAAAATTATTTCTGAAGGATTCTTTGAGTTTTTACACCAAATTAGAAATGTGTCAAAAGGTCGACTTTAGACATTTCAGGAATCATTTCACTGATAGAGCTAGTCTTGACACTCATTTTTCTGATGTAGGCAGAGACAGGTAAACAAATCCATCATTCAGATAATCTTAAATCGACATTCTTCACTCATTCTAGCCCTATTACAAGATCGTACAAGATCGTCTACACCTACAAGTTATAGAAATTAAAAATGGACACATCCATTTATATTGAAGATAATATAGTAATAGTTAATAAAGTATAATTAAAAGTCGACAAAGATGTCTCTTGTCAAATCCTATCTTTCGAACACTTGCACATTCTCAGGCGTATAATTTGTCTTGTTGGAAATACAAACGTATGTTATTTATTGTTCATGACGTCACCGATTGATGTCAGTAACAAAACAAATTCAAGTGTGTGGCACGGGTGGCCCAGTCGTCTAAGGCACTGCAATTTTCGGTGGAGAGTAGCGTCTCTTGGGCACGCCAGAAACCCATGATCGTGGGTTCAAATCCTGGTTCTCCACGATTATGATTTTAAGTTTTTCAGCACCATTCCCGTGCTCGTGGGTTTCACCAAAGTGGTGAACATCCACGACCTGCATCACTTTGGGCTTTCCTCCCCCATTAAGCTGACGCTCTGTAGCAAAACTGGAATACTGTTCAAAGAGGCGTTAAAACAAACTCACTCAATCCTTTCAGTGAACTACACCATGGTTTTCTGTGACTTCGAGACCAACACCTGCGGCTACACCCAGGCCAGCAACAACACGGCCAAGTGGTACACGGGGACGGGGAGGCCGACCACCGCCACAGGACCATGGAATGATCATACAATTGGCACTCCTGACGGTTAGGCACGAAAAATGTTTCAAATATTTTTAGACAGGTATCTAATTGACTCCAATCTCCTTAGGAGACATTGAATGGGCTGAAAATGTTCCACTATGATCAGGAAATTCCGGTTATGTGCTGGAAGCTCAGCTATATTGAAAACGTCTGAGCATCATCAAGGGAGATGGACTTAAGGCGCCATACTATTTGGGTTAATGTAAGAAATTCAAGCTTCAAGAACATTTTGAGTAGGATCTTTGTAATAAGGTTAAATCACACCAAAATACATCACTGATTAAGAAACATGATGTTGCCAGTTGAAGCAAGGGTAACCAAAGATTACAAAGTTGAAGACAAAACAATGTTCCTCGGAAGCAATGGAATCAAATAGTCACTAGAATTGTACATTGCACAGAAACTAACAAACAGTAGTACTACCAAGAATATGATGATAAGAATATTGTCAATACAAACTGCCAATGAGAATAAAAGCGACAAAGCCGCTTATATATATCCATAAGAAATCTCTGCTCAAACAGAGTTAATTAGAAGGCGTCTTGTCTCTCAGTTTTGTGACGAAGGCCATGAAAGGTGTACAGACACAGAACCTGATTGAACTGAGGTTGCAGAAGAACGGCCTTTCCCAGAAAACTTTAATACGATGACCACAGACACATGGAACGGTGACAATTATGACCCGAGGTACTAAATCGGGTACTAGTTAATCTACTTAGTCAGACTCCCCTTTGCCAATGATAAGCATATGACTCTTTAGAAAATAGCGCGGAATTCAACAAACATAAATATGTAATTGTCATTAGCTCGCCAAAAGCAGCAAAACTTTCCAGATCGGATGTAGTTGTCATGATCTCTATGATATGGTATTATCATTGTGTGCAATTCAGAACAGAAATTCACGTATATTAAAAACAGTTTTTGACGGATAATTTTATTTTTAAGTGAGATGTAAAAGAATATTTTATATCAATAGATAATGCACAAACATGGCTATCATTTAAAGTGTATGTAGCCTATATGTCACAAAATCAAAGACAGTTATAATTTGAAAGGTGACCCAGCGCGGATGAGAAATTGGGGCACTTTGAAATCCAAGATGGCCGCCATAAATGTTCGTGGGAAAACTGACAACATTCTTTTCCCTTTTTCATGTATTTTGAAGGTTTTTAACCTTATAACCAGGATTGTACCAAAATATGGTGTTAACCTGATAGTGCCCTCAGAAGGTCCAGGGTTCAATTTTGAAGTGCTTGAAGTGCTTAGGTATATTAAGTAGACAGTTTTGAAGGACTGAAACTGCCTTAGTGTGTCGAGGAGACAAATCTAAAGAACGGAATCTAAAGTACGCCATTATCTCCATGAGGCGTCTCTAGAGACATGGAACTACGATCTGTTTACCTTTGATCTGGTCTCTCTGAATACATTCATATAAAGGATCCGTCAATCCTTTTCGACCGTGTCCACAGGATCTTACATGCACATCGATGCTCACCGATCGGCGCTATGGTACAAGAGGGAAACATCCGCCCTGCTTGAGTCGCCCCTGTTTGACCCCTCACCAAACTATTGTGTCCAGTTTTGGTACAATATGGCCGGGCGGGACATACAGGACCTCAAAGTATATGCAAAAGTAAGTGTACAAAGCTTTTTATGTTGTAATGAAATAGGGCAGTGTGCTAGCATAGTGGGTAATGCCTGGACGCGGTTCTTCAATACTCGAGTCTGGTGTCCCCTGCTGTAATATTGCCAAAAGTTCCCGGTTACAGGATAAGGTTGATTGGTTGGTTGGTTTGTTGTTTTAGCAATATTCCAGCTTTATGACGGCCGTCTGTAAATAATCGTGTCTGGACCAGATAATCCAGTGATTGACATCATGAGCATTGATCCTCGCAATTGGGATCGATGACATGCATCAACCAAGTCAGCGAGCCTGACCACCCGATCCCGTTAGTCGCCTTTTACGACAAGCATAGTCACCTTTTACGGCAAGCATGGGTTGCTGAAGACCTATTCTACCCCGGATCTTCACGAACAGGATTAGGAACGATGAATACTAATGCGTACTCCTTTCCCTTGAAATGCTTTCGAGTAACTAGATGTAGTCATACTTTTATTAACCATTATAGACTCACTTTTAATCAATCAATCAATCAATGTGGAAGTGAATCTCTGTTAAACTTGGATATATATGACACACCGTGCTGTCTCGTGGGGGTGGGGGTAGGGTGGGAGTGGGAGTGGGAGTGGGAGTGGGAGTGGGAGGGGAATGAAGGGGCGTCGAAAAGGTCGGAATACCATACTATCTGCAGATCAACATGAAGTTGGACATTGCCACACCTACACAAAATTATTACATAGACATTGCTCATTTAAGAATGTACTGAATGGGGATTAAGCGCATGACAATGAGGAGGGGTTCTGTTGACTCAAGCTATATATTATAAGGTAAAGTTGTGGGTAAGAATGGGCTGATCGACAAGGAATCACAGTCAAATAATCGATAATAGTTGACGGGAATCTAAATTACAGTATTCATTAGAAATAAATCCCAGATAGGGAATCTTTTAACAAACAAACAAGACATCTCAAACTGATATCGAGAATTATATATTTTATAATTACACAACCGTCTAGTGTCATAAATATGTACAAATTAGGAGGCGAGCATCAACGAAAGTAGGACCAATTGAGAACTTGGGAAGAAGGTGCAACTTTCAAAGTCAACCAAACTGAAAAAAATACTGACCCGTGAAGATTCGGGTTAGAAGAGGTCTTCAGCAACACATACTTGCCGTAAGAGGCGACTAACGGGATCGGGTGGTCAGGCTCACTGATCATGTATGTCATCGTATCCCAATTGCGTAGATCGATGCTCATGAAGTCAATCACTGGATTGTCTGGTCCAGACACGGTCATTTCCAGACCGCCGTCACATAGCTTGAATATTCCTGAGTGCGGCGTTAAACAACAAACAAACAAACGAAAAAATACTTGAGCAGAAAGATCTCATTGAAAAGATCCTGTAGGCTGCACTGAAATCACGAGGCCGATTCAAATTTATTTAGAGCGAACTCTAACAAATATTGCTGTTGATATAATATTTAGAAGAACATAAATTTTGACATAGAGAGACTTGAATGCCACTGCTGAAAGTACAAATCTTTTGGGACTTGTGTGAAAGCATGTATATATCAGCTTCCCGAGGCAAGAAAACTGACTTTAAAAGTCCAGTTTCCACCCTTGCCGAACTAGGCTGGATTTCCTGGGCTCGATCGTAGCTCCACCCGTGGTTATTATTAGTTACGTCCCTTCTAAGCCTCTCCTATGGACCAATCCGATTCCATCACTTGCATTTGCTTCAAACAAAATGGCGGCGCCAAGTCAAGACGATCTGATCGATTATCAAGATCTATGTTGTGATAAAACGGGTCTTACTTCGCGAAGTGCATCAAATCACGTGAGCACCTTGATTATAAACATAAAAAGATTTAGAAAATATCTGTTGACAACGAGCTAGCGGTGCACATGCTTTGCAAATCCTGCAGTCGACCGAAATCTGCATGACACTTTACAAACCGGATTTCGATTTCGGTGCGCAATTTTGATTTGACTATGCATAGACTCGTTAGTTTAGCCAAAATGTAACTCCATAATACCAGCCTAGTTCGGCAAGGATGGAAACTGGACTTTCATAGTCAGTTAACGCTCTTGCCGGTTCCGTCTGCCTACCGCTTGCTCTGTTCATACTTACCAGTACCTACATGTCCATCTCCTCGTCCTCTTCATGCTATGTCACAGGTTGGCAACGGTCTAGGCTACCCTGTGTGGACTAAATCTGGCCAGGTGTCTATAAAGTGGCAGCTCGGAGAGATTGACATCGGCCATGAGTATTCTTCAAGGCAATTCCAAGTACGTATTCTCACCACAAAAGTGAGTTACTTCAAGGCCATTCCAAGTACGTATTGTCAATACAAAAGTAAGTTACTTCATGGCCATTCCAAGAACGTATTGTCACCACAAATGTGAGTTACTTCAAGGCCATTCCAAGTACGTATTGTCACCACAAAATGAAGTTACTTCAAGGCCATTCCAAGTACGTATTGTCACCACAAAAGCGAGTTACTCCAATTCCATTCCAGGTACGTATTCTCACCACAAAAGTGAGTTACTTCAAGGCCATTCCAAGTACGTATTGTCACCACAAATGTGAGTTACTCAAAGGCCATTCCAAGAACGTATTGTCACCACAAATGTGAGTTACTTCAAGGCCATTCCAAGTGTACGTATTGTCACCACATATGTGAGTTACTCCAATTCCATTCAAAGTACGTATTGTCACCACAAATGTGAGTTACTCCAAGGCCATTCCAAGAACGTATTGTCACCACAAATGTGAGTTACTCCAAGGCCATTCCAAGAACGTATTGTCACCACAAATGTGAGTTACTCCAAGGCCATTCCAAGAACGTATTGTCACCACAAATGTGAGTTACTCGTAAATGTTACCATCGGGGTTACAATAGTAAGCGGTATGTTTACACATACATAACTGGACGATTAACGGTGCTGATTGGTTGATAATATGACGTCATCCATTGTTCACGTCGCAACAGTTTGATAAAGACACAACAACTTCCTGACTTCCTTGAATGATATTGTGACCCAGTTTCATTTGCTCTCGGTTTACATAATACATGGTACATAGATAATAATTATGTTCACAAGGTACATCATATCTTTTTTACCTTGTAATAGATTTCACCTTGTAACTCGTTTCTGATTGGTTACTGAATAGATCATTTTTCCCATGTTCGCTGCTGATCGATGAGGGACAAATTTCACATATCCGGATGGGAAATGCCGATCATCTTACCAATACTTATATATACAATGGCATGATTATATTATATCGAAACGGAACACTTATCAAGCATACTAAATGCAGTTTAGCGAACTTAACCGAGCATATCCGATTGTAATGCAAGGACGACAACTCTGGATGTATTTATGTCGTCTGCTGGCTGTCAAGATGGCCAAGAAATAACCATCCTAATGAAGACATTCTAAATAAACTGTGGAGTATTCAGCCGGTTAGATAAATTCGTTGTCAGCCCGTCCCTCGGGGAATATGTATGTGGGGTGACGTAACCTGTGTGCGAGCCTACATAAGCGTCACTACAGCCATGACATTACGTTCGTTAAATTGCATTTGCTAGGTGTTAAATTTTGAATTTTGAATTAATTCTACCAGGAATATACAATATTGCATGTCAATATATTTTGGGCAGAAATCACGATACATATCGTGTAAGAGATTGTATTACAAGTTCAAATTGGCGTTTTTCTATAGCCGACTGTGACGTCATATTTCTGCTGCACACTGAGGATGTAACGTCATAATAGTGACATGCGATGTCGAGAAAACTTTGGGGAGTTTGCATAATTGTTTTAGTGGCTATTTTATGCTTCAAATTAAAGGTCTCTAAAGCACTGGTGTTAAGATATATAAACAATTCCTAGAAATCATCATATTTCAGTTAGTTTTTGAAGGAACATCGAAAAGCTACTACGAACACATCTTTGCATCCTCTCCCCATTACCACAACACATCTGGAAATATCGCCATTGACGACATTTACGTCTACAACACAACGTGTCAAAGTAAGTATCACTCTAACATTAACGATGTTATTTTCTCTTAACATTCTGCCCCCCCCCCCCCCAAAAAAAAAAAAGAAAAGAAAAAAGGAAGAAAGGGTCGTGTTTGAGGTGAAGTGAATGAGTCACTGGACATGCAAACAAAATTGGAATGGCTAGTGTGACCGTCTCAAATATTTTCTGTATATATAAAGAAAGTCCTCCTTGAAGTCCCTCCTTCCGTCAACCAGGACGGGACTGCTTTCATTGAACTCGTCCAGACTAACGGTCCTTTGTAAATGTACAAAGGGCGAACTAATGGCATTTCATTGTACCTGGGACGACCAAGTTCAATCAATAAAGATTAAATCTTGAAAGCCTAAAATTTATTGTTAAAAGAGGCTTTGAAACATTCTCACTCATACGCCTATTTGAGTTGAGTTGAGTTGAGTTGATGGGAGGTGAGGTGAGGTAAAAATGGGGGTTTAACGTCGGGTCCAAACTTATTGCACTATTATAGCAACGTGCGAGCGTGTGGTGTCTCCTTGTGCTAGTCCGCACTGATGCCGAGTTTATAGTTCCAGCCCTCTGAGTTGCCGCAGTTTAACATGAATACCCCACTCAGACACAGTATACTGACTCCGAGCCGACCTGCCCTTGTTTTATACCCTTAACGCCGAGCGCCAGACAGGGTAACAACAAATACCATCTTTTAATGTCTTTTGGTATGAGGCGGGGATCGAACCCCGAACCGCTCTACGGGCGGATACTCTACCACTAGACCAAGGAGGCGATCTCGTTATGTGTGAGAGGGGGGTCACTCAGAAAAAACACATGTATTTGATATTAGCTCTTGAAGTAAGCTCATCTTTAAACCAAACATTATCTGATTTGTAAATATTGTTTGACTTGCAGGTCTCCGCGACTGTCCCCCAGGTGCATATCGCCGAACAGGGAACAACAGTCATTCCTGCTACACCTTCCACACTGCGCCAGCCAAATGGGACAATTGTCACGTGACATGTAAACAACAGAACGCGGCCTCCCACCTGGTTGCCATCGACTCTGAGGAAGAACAGAAGTTCCTGGTGAACATCATCAAGAACGACCCAGGTGCAGTGAGACAAAAATCACAGTGTGTGTATGGGTTCATGATGTACGAACAATCAGTTTCATTGTAGGGGCAAGGAAGGCCTAAGGTAGTAAGCGTATGAGACCTGTTTTACTTTCGGCTGTCCTGAAACAATAAGCTGACACACGACGGGATATACAGTAACAAAAATACTGAGGCGAATACCCAACTCACTAGCCTTACAATTCCGAGTTCGGTGTCGGGAGAAATATACGCAGCTTACCAGTGAGCACTCTTTGACGAAGAAAGCGACTTCAGCGAAGATAGAACAGTATGGAAAGACTTGGTTACTGTCAGCTGATGAAGGCTTTCATAGAATAATGAGGCTGAAATAGTGTGTACTGCGAAATGAAACGACTTGTTTTCAGGATCGATGTTTACCAGAAAACAATTCATAGTAACACCTTTTTAACAACCCAATTATATGTAGGCTAAATTAGATTAAAATAAAAAAATGTAGCAAAGAGGGTTTGGGTGATCCTGGCACAGTCAGGCTGGTTAGGCTCATCATCAGCTCAGGGCCCTTGCCCCCTCTACACGCAGCCCAGACAGCGCTGCCTAGTCAAACCCACCCAGAACTTTTCGGAGAATGTGAAGACTCCCCAACAATGCAGCCTTCTGCATTGCCCAGATTGTCAGAAGGGCTGTATTCCTGGTAGCAAACCCGGGTACTCTCCCAATGTCAGTCAACAGATTGGGAGGTAGCAAACCTAAGGCACCGAGAACAATGGGGAGTCGGACAACTTGGTACTTGGGGGGATGCAAGCGTGACATTTCGAAAGCGAGGTCCGTATATTTGCTCAATCTTGCCAATCACATTAGTTTCAAAGGGGACAGAAAATTCAATGATATAAATGATTTCATTGGATTTATCAAAAAGGACAAGATCGGGTTTATTGGCCTGGATACGTCTGAGGCTGTAAATTGGCCTATTCCAAAGAATTTTGTATTTATCATTTTTCATGACGCCCTCTACATATTCCGGGCCGTACCATGGGTGGACCTCTGTGTCAAAACCACAAGCATTATTATTATTATTATTATTATTATTATTATTATTATTATTATTATTATTATATCCTAATAAAAATAAACAATGCAGCAAAGAAGGTTTGGGTGATCCTGGCCCCTGTTATTATTATTATTATTAGCAGTAGTAGTAGTAGTAGTAGTAGTAATAGTATTTATATTATCGTTGGTAGGAGTAGTAATAGCAGTAGTAGTGGTGGTGGTGGAATGTTTGATGGTAGCTAAAAATGGAGCAAACAAGAAATGGTTATTCAGTATTGATGTATTTGATACGGGTATCACAGTTGTGTTTTAGACTTACGTTTGCAGTGTTTCGGCGACTGTTTTCAGCCTTGTAACGTTTTGATAACGTTTGTAAAATTCCAGTTTTCAAGTGTATACTTTCTTTTGCCTGGCAGTGTAGGCCTTATCTCAGATTTATAGCTGAGAGTACAGCTTGAAACCTCACTCACTCACTCATTCAATTTCCGCACTAGTCCTGACGGCGGCTGGCACTGCCGGCTTCTTCACCGCGGGCAACGACGAGGAGACCGAGAACAACTTTAGATGGACAGGTATGACAACGCTTTACTCCATTGGCTATACCAACTGGTATCCAGGGCAACCAAACAACGTAGGATCCAATCAGCATTGCCTAGTCATGGAATATCCCAACGCGGACTACGAGTGGGGTGATAACGATTGTGCCTCCGCGTACCCCTACATCTGTGAAGTGGACCTGCCCATGCCAACACCAGTGACAACCACGTCCCCATGAGGCATCCTACGAAACTGTCCATTATTAAGTGATAGACCTCATAAATAAAAGATGTATGCATTTACCACCTATGAATCTTTGGTTGAATGTATGTATTGTACTTAAATGTTAAACGTCAACGCCAGGAATGACTGCCGAAACAGATTCCATTGGCCGTAAAAGGCATAAACGCGGTGAAAATTATATGAATTGATTATTGAAAATCTGTGATGACACCAGGTGTTCGCGAAAAGGGTAAGCATGTTTTGCCCTACCGACAGCACCCGTCACTCTCACAATGTTAGCAGTGATGGCAATCTTCAAAATGATAAGCTTTCTATGGACAGGTAGCACTGGTGACCCAGTCGTCTAAGGTGTCGCAATTTGCTATACAGAAAACTCATGATTCGAATCCCGACTCGTTCGGATTATGTTTCTAGGTTTGTCAGCACCATACCTGTGCGCCTGGTTAAAAGTCTGAGACCCGCATCAGTTCAGATCTACTAGACTTTCCTCCCACATTAAGCTGAGACGCCGTGGTGTATATTGAATAGTGTGCAAAGCGGCGTTTGACCCAACTCACTCACTCACTCTATAGACACACATGTGTAATTATGTTACAATCATGGTTGAGTAGTGATGTCCCAGCACAATCTCATTAGAATCAGATCTTAGTTCTCGCCATCACTAAACAAAGATCTGAGGACATCCCATTACGGGTCACGTCAGAACGACCCTTCATCCGACCAAACAAAGCGTCGCTTACTAGATCATGAAAGTGACAGTCGAAAAGATGTTTTCTAATCATGCAACCTCGAAAACGTTAACACGGGGTATTCCGAACGACAGTCACGGCCCGTACGACTGATTCCGTTAAACTCATCGTCTATCTCTCGCTTCCGTGCGATAAACATTTGAACGGAGGAGGCGTTGTACAGTACGTGGGAGGCACTGCAATACAATCGCAACGATATACTATAGCTAGACGTTCCGAAATGTTCGTTTGTTCAGTTTTCAAAATTTTAATCTTCAAAATTTTAATCGAGAACTGTGTCAACATATTTTCAACCTAAAGCTCGAGAAAGCTGCTTTCTAATTGGCTGATGTCTTGTTAGTCGTTTTAGTGGTCGGTCAAAGTTCGCGAAAGGTCGTGACCCGTAATGGGATGTCCTCAGATGTTTGTTTAGCGGCAGCGAGAACTTATGGTATGCATGACAACGTTTCATGAATTATATGCCAAGTTGTACACTTCGTTAGCATACGAAGATAGACTAAGTACGGAAGACCATATGGTATGCCAAAATAGAACTATGAGACAGATGGTACACCGAGATGGTATTGCATGACAAGTTGTACAATATCACGTATTCGAGATTGTATTCCGAGATAGTATTGGATGCCAAGTTTTACATATATTTTGTACATAGAGAGAAAAAAGATTTAGAAATGGCAGCCAAGAATACAATCCTTTTCATCATTCATACCTAACTCGAGCAGTATAAATGACGGAACGGCAGCCGAATGATTTTTGGTGACGTTTCTATGTTCTCGGAAGATCGAGAATAGCAGATCTCTATCATCCTGTTCGTTCATGTCTGGATAGTGTATCACAGAGATACGTTGGACCTGTTTGATGAAAACACTGAAAAGTGAGTGAAAGAATCTTTAAACTCTATTCCTTGTCAAATGGGCAGCCAATGCAAAGATTGTGGAACTGGTGTGCTGTGGAATCTCTTGCTGGTTCTGCCGATGATACTAGCGCCAGTGTTCTTCACCTTTTCGGGTGTGTTATGAAGGGTATCGGGTTCCCATTCCATTAATAATCCAGAAGAGATTGATCAGACGAATGCTTCTTCTCGTTTGTTCTTAAAGCATCTTAACGTCCGATATTTTCTCCACACCTCTGATGCTTAACAAGACATAACGTTTGGCATTACTTGTCTCGACAAATGGGATATCTTCTACATTTCTATGCGAATGTCCATATTCTCCAATACGCATACCATACTCAATCTCCAGGTACGAACCAATGGCTAAATGGGAATGGTGTTGTCGAGAGAGTGAAGGGCCTGTTGCATGTCCAAGAAGAGCTGTTGTTTGTGCTGGGGGATGAAGTCGCTCGTCTGTAGGATGTCAATTACTTCCTCTGCAACATATTTTATATATTTACATATGGACCTGATATTTCTATCTATATTACAACAAAACAGAAAACAGCCGTTTCGCAATAGGAATACGATGACTTGCATCAACCGACTCAGCGAGCATGACCATCCCATCCCGTTAGTCGCCTCTTACGACAAGCATAGTCGCCTTTTACGACAGGGATGGGTTGCTGAAGACCTATCTACCCCGGATCTTCATGGGTCTTTTTGTCAGTGAGCTGGACAAACAAGCTTACCTCTCAGGCCGGCAATCAATACTTTGATGTCCACGGACTCGAACTCGACCAGAACCTGGAAATCATTCAGTGTTTACAGGAAAGATGTTTAAAATATTGACCGATTCATATGAAGTGTACGTAAAGCTCGTTGTTATCGTATAAGCATCTAAGAGGTATTTCAAAATATGCAATGTTTTCATGACACTTTTTTATGGATAGGAATATCTTTTTATTCTTTGTACGATGTTTCAGAGCTACTTCTTGCTCCTTCATCAGATGAATGCTTAGTTAATGCACAGAGTAATGATGTTTATCATCATGATGTTTACACAACACAATCATCCCACCTTGTTATTTTATAAGGGTAACACTATTTTTCAGGGCAATATCACTTGCAGAAGCCCGAGGTCTTCCATTAACTGCCCGACGACGGAAAAATAGCTTTACCTTTAGTATAGCTATAATGGATAGAATCTGTTATCAAATAAAAATAAACAACATTATCGGTTTTAAAACATTTACTGCAATCAACACACATAATATAATAAACAGGAATAACCAGTGTCAAAAGTACAGCTGGCCACATTGATTGGCAGAGAGAAAAGTGATGTCATTTATACCGATGACGCCACAATGGCTGCAACGATATCTCCTGTGAAAGCCAGTTTTGGATGAAAAATATGTATGTCATCATTATATGAATGATAGCACGGTAGCGATTGTAAATCAGAATTAGGGCCCTTACATTTGGGAACAGGGGGCCAAGCTCGGTGACATTGTGTGTCTTGGTTCCGCGATTGTGTGGTTAGTTGATCATGCTGTCGAACAACTTGCTAAATTAGATACAGATCGTCGTAGAATGGCTTTAATATTGCTTCCAGCCGAGTAAAATAACAAGTAAATAAAACATACAAATGCTACTACTACTACTACTACTACTACTACTACCGCCATTACTACTACTACCACCACCATCACAACTACTACTACTACCATCACTACTACTACTACTACCATCACTACTACTACTACTGCTACTACTACTACTACTACTACTACTACCACTACTACCGCCATTACTACTACTACCACCACCATCACAACTACTACTACTACCATCACTACTACTACTACTACTACTACCATCACTACTACTACTACTACTACTACTACTACCATCACTACTACTACTGATGATAAAAAAAAATAATAAGTCACGGGCCCTGAGCTGATGATTAGCCTAACCAGCCTCACTGCGCCAGGATCATCAAACCCTCTTTGCTGCATTGTTGATTTTTATTTGTGCTGCTAACTACTCTACAACTACGACTTCAACTTCTACGCCTGACTATGACAATAGCAATGATAATAGTAATAGCAATTTCCTATCTAAGCAACTCCTACTTACCCGAGTCAATGCTTTAACGCCCATGGTGTCTATGAAGGTGACCCCCGCCATGTCCAAGATGATACAGTCAACATCCGAGTCATTCTGAGATTCTGGCTCCGTCGGTTGTCCATTCTTTTCCTTCGTTTCTTCGAATTTCACCTTCCGTGAGTCCTTGTTCCCATTCTGCTGAAATATTCCGTAAAATGCAATCATGTCTGTTTGTTCTGATTGGACCAAGATATGTAGTTTTGTTTTGTTTGTTTGTTGTTTAACGCCGTACTCAGCAATATTCCAGCTATATGACGGCGGTCTGTAAATAATCGAGTCTGGACCAGACAATCCAGTGATTGACATCATGAGCATCGATCCACACAATTGGGATACGATGACATGCATCAGCCAAGTCAGCGAGCCTGACCACCCGATCCGTTAGTCGCCTCTTACGACAAGCATAGTCGCCTTTTACGGTAAGCATGGGTTGCTGAAGACCTATTCTACCCCGGATTTTCACGGGTCAGATATGTAGTGCTCATGTTATCATCCAATTGGCATCAAACACAATTATTACTTTTACTAATAAATATTAAATACCTGTTTCTTTTTTTCCCTTTTTCTTTTTTCAGCGTCCAGTGCTGCCCTCTTCCTCTTTATTTTCATAGGATTTACACCAGAATCGGTGAAAGATTTAAGAACAAACTGTTCCGAATTTGCAAAGTATAGAGGCGCTTCAAATGTCAAAATTTTCACGCTTTGGAGAACTTTTACCTGAGGGTGAAAAGAAATTAAAACTCAGGAACACGAATTATATCAGAAAGTATGTCGTACAAATATTTGGCATCGTTGTGAATCTAATCTGGTAAGTAGTTTCAGTTGTTGACATTTCTCGTAAATAGTGCATTTTTAAAAATAATCCTTGTATATATTTGTAAATAATGTTGTTTATTTGATTTATTGACAAAATGCAGAACGGTTAAATATGTATCTACCTAGCTCTGAAATACCATAGTGATGACAAAGTTTTATCGGGGACAACCTGGGATGAGAACCCACGATCAGCCACCTGATCCTAACACAACTAAGGGGCACAACTCTGAATGGCGAGTTGTTACGCTTAAGACTACTTGGCTACCTGCGAACATTCAGGATATTCTGAAACAGTGAGTATGTTACGTTATAGATATCCTCTGTGTCTTGTGCTGACAAGCAAAGTCAAATACTAGTTTACATTGATAAATATAAATTGATGAATGAGTGAGTATGGCTTTTCGATGATTTTCTTTTGTAATATTTGAGCCATATCATGGAGGGGGACAAGAGGAATGGGTTTACAGCATGTATTCAAACAGGAAACTCGGGTCTTCAGCGTGACGAGCCAATACTAATACTGCAAGGCAACCCCAGACGGCTGGAACACGAAAGAGCATCTGTGATGCTGGTGAGTAATTGAGCGAATCACTCAGTCAGTTTACTCCGCTTTTAACAATAATTCAATTTGGAATAGAACACACCATCTGATGTCACGCATAAGAGGCAAAACGCTGAACAGCGAACAGCGAGTTGGTTGACCTTGGGTCACGTTCCACAAATAGATCAAGCTACGAGTGAGTGACTGAGTATTGTTTTACGCCGCTTTAAGAAATATACAAGCAATGTCACGTCGGGGGACACCAGAAATGGGCTTTACACATTATCCCATTTGGGGAATAGAACCCGGGTCGTCGGCGTGACGAGTGAACGCTGTAACCACTAGCGCCCTCGTAGCGCCAAGACTGTCGTAGGTCTGTGTATGAGTAGAAGAGTTAGGATAATCTTGAATAACAGTTACTTACACATTCGTACCTCTTCTTTGATCTGTACTGCGATGTGGAATCTACTTCGCCCTTTAACGTAAACCCGGATCTGACAAAAAGTATAAAAGTAGTCAACAATTCCGAAATAGTCCCCATTCACCTTAATAGGATGGTTTCGTATTCAATTTACAATTTGTTAATGGTAAAACTTTAGTTGATCGAGACACCGGCCTCTTTTTTTCCTTATTCTCGAAACACTTATTTAAGGCCGAGTTTATTCCCTAGAAAACTTATAATATTTTGCCATGTTGGGTTTTTTTGGCCAAAAAACGACAAACCCTTAAATCACTGCCATAAACAGAGTCAATTGTCGTTTCCGACTTTATCACTCACTCGCTATGAATCACTTTCAAATAGTGATGATAACGGGTGTAAAACAACAACTATAAGAACACTCCACAACTGTATGACAGAAGGATGACTTCAACTTCCCACTAGACACTGTGCCTTTATGTCATCAACACAGCAGCTCCAGCCTTTGGTGTCTGCATGTACATGAGCTACAGTCGAGATGTCAAAGAACGTCTCTTGCTCAAAGGTTCAAAGGACTTTTATGGTAAACACGTGGAGAATATTTTCAAATTTGACGCACCGGTGATAAAAAGTCTTAAGCATCCTTACTTTAACTTGTATTATCCGTTCTTGTGTTTTTTCAGGTGAATAATTGACTTGCCTGGTATCATCACTATTTGATAGTGAATCATAATTATAGGCTCATGAGCAGAAGCCCGAATCGAACACTGCCTTAAGCAAAGATTTTTTTTATGATTACGGAAACCGCTTTTGTCGCTTTTATTTACTTAAAGCTATCTGCCATTTCACGAACGACAACCACTTAATATAATAAGTATGAACATAATGTCTGCACCATATAAGCATTAAATTGAACAATATGGGCACCCAATCCTGCATGATTAATCAGATGCGGATCAAGGAAATTGAAAAATCTACTGGTTCACAATACTCCCAAATCACGCAATATAAAAAAAAACCCATAAAAGGTTGGCATGAAAGTTGTCCGAAAATGGAGGCACCCCTCTCGCCAACCACGCACCCACAAGTCCAGGATCTGACTAAACTAATACACGCCCACTCGGTTAAGAATGTTTCTGTATTGTGTTGCCGTACCTTTGGGTTCTGCACACCACGGTGAGGATGGAGAAAATGATGCCGATCCCGAGGCCGACGTCAGCATCCAGCAGGATCACACACATGAGAGTTGTCACCCATATACTCTGGGGGCACATGGGACATATTAGGGTATACTTCAGTCATGATGTCAAGACAAAAGTTACCACTAAAAATAACCAAAAGATATTGCAAAGGTAGGATTTTCACTTTTGTACATAAACACAACGCCAAGTGCGAGCGATTCTCTTTGCTATATTCTATTTTGCTTCTTTTATATCTGGTATTGATCCAACGATAATGGGACACCCCTCGAGACAATGATAAAAATAGCTGTACTTATTTTCAAGAGGCATTCTTAAACTGTGGAATCAATGTATGTAAAGATGAAGTTTCGGTTCGGATGCTAGTATCTTAATGAAACACTTGCCACGTTGCGGTACAGATGATAGTACCTCTGTCAAAAACTTGCGACGTTTCGCTACAGATGTTTGCACATTTATCAAGCACTTGCCAAGTTTCTGTACATATGCCAGTTACCGTCATCAAACATTTGTCACGTTTCGCTACAGATGCTTGCACGTTTATCAAGCACTTGCCAAGTTTCTGTACATATGCCAGTTACCGTCATCAAGCATTTGTCACGTTTCGCTACAGATGCTTGCACATTTATCAAGCACTTGCCAAGTTTCTGTACATATGCCAGTTACCGTCATCAAGCATTTGTCACGTTTCGCTACAGATGCTTGTACATTTATCAAGCACTTGCCAAGTTTCTGTACATATGCTAGTTACCGTCATCAAGCATTTGTCACCTTTCGCTACAGATGCTTTCACATTTATCAAGCACTTGCCAAGTTTCTGTACATATGCCAGTTACCGTCATCAAGCATTTGTCACGTTTCGCTACAGATGCTTGCACATTTATCAAGCACTTGCCAAGTTTCTGTACCATATGCCAGTTACCGTCATCAAGCATTTGTCACGTTTCGCTACAGATGCTTGTACATTTATCAAGCACTTGCGACGTTTCGCTCCAGATGCTTGTACCGTCACCAAGCACTTGCAACATTTCGCTAGAGATGCTTGTACATTTATCAAGTAAACGTCGCCTTGAAACAATCAGAAGTTGAAATCCATGTAAACTTTTCATCTTCATCTCAACATTACAGTGTTAATACAGAAACATCTTCATCAGACTGTTGCAATTGCAAAGTAACACCATATGGCTGATACTGAAACATGCCCTGTTTGTGTGTTGCATCTCTGACGATTTCGCTCTACATAAACTCACAAAATCCCACTTTGACCTCCTCCACAGGACGGGGAGCTGTAACAACTGCCTGAACATGCTTCTCAGGTTGACGATAATGACCGAGGACAGGACACACTGAATAATCAGACACAATAATTCTTACAATTGTATTCTAAGGACTGACTATCATGCTTTTGGGAATGCAAAAAAATCAGAAAACAGGGACGATTTATAGCGAAATTTCTGGAAAATAACCCTTAAAATAATGTGTTTCAATCATCGGTTTGCCTGACCCATAAACGATTATTTACAGATCGTAGTGCTATAGCTAGAATATTGGTGGCTGCGCCATTAAACAACATTCACCCACTCTCCTGCTGCTCCCTCTATTTAGGGACAACTTTACTTATTTAGGGTGACATAAGTACTACATTTAATCTTGTTATTTGTCCACATTAAAAAAGAATTCTTGTTTCTCACTCTGGTCATTTTTATTTATGTTATAGTTTTGATTTCCTAACCACTCCAAACTAAATTGACTTGCTGGTCACCAGAACGAGTTACATCAAAAATGAAATTTCGGAACGGAAATAATAGCGGAACCGGAATCTAAATTTGCTATATGAAGAACCAAACCATTTTTAAGGGTCAATCAGTTGTGAGAAATGACCTTTTTTTTGTATCATCACACGGACATAAAACAACAATTTAAAAAGATAACTTTTAATTTTAAAAAGTATAAAGCATATATGTACTCACAGAGGGTAGAGAGTAGAAGAGTGGACCGACCGCCATGACCACCACCAACACAACACAGCAGCCCATGAGGGAGGCGATCTGCGACAACAGTAGGAACAAGCTCCAGATCGGACATCACAAGACATATGTGTACAGAAACACTTAAAAACACATTCCCCTTTTCAATCGATTACAGTGCAATAAATGACGATTTTAATTTTCTCAAATTTCTATGGGACATTTGCACCACAATTTTTATTTACTGAGTTCATACAAAATATCGTGTTTGGAATGATTAACGGTGTACATTTTGTTTCATTTTGATTTGGTGGGCTTTTAAAGAATATATTATGAGTTTATTCTCTAATTTTCTGTGGAAATGTGTTTACGACCATGTTGCTAAATTCAGACAAAGATGCCGAACATGGCTGGTGTGTCACATTCTGATTTGGTAAGCGCTTTAAGAAATTAATTTTAAATTTATATTTCTCTTATTTTCTCGGGAAAATGAATACATTAATAAGTTAATTTTAGACAAATGTACCCCGTATGGTTGGATACACAGTGTTAAGTTTGTTTGACAGTGACATACATAAGGTATTTATACTATTCCAGGACATTCCAGCGATTATATGATATTAAATGATAATATTCCTGGACATATTCCAGAGTTTCTGTCCGATAAGAAAGACGGTTCCAGTCTTTTCGAAAGGGTTTGGTGGATCTACTTCAGCGGTCGTTGTAGATTCACCTGGGTAATGCCCCCAGCACCGTCCTGCACGACACTGCGAGCAACAGAGGCAGCAGGGATGTAGCCAGAGAAGATGGAACAGAGGACGCTCCCGGCACCGTACGCAAACATCTCCTAGGCAACCAAATCACAAAGTCTGATAGAAGAACGTCTCTGATACGTGATATGTCGAGAATATGCTGAGTCGATACAATGGAGAAACAAACTGAACATGTTACTCTGAGTTGGAGATTGGACATCAGGCGATTTTCTTAAATCGAGTCGCGCTTCACAAAGCAAACTCATTCAGTTTTTAACCCAGCAGTTGAGAGCGATCGCAATTAATTATTTGTCGTGATCTAAGCGGCTTTTGGAACGGATTAAACAGTTTGTTTCGAAAAATGTATTTTGATGAGTTCACTCAAATTTCGAGAAAATGAGGCTAGGTGAAAGAAGAAACTAAACACCCATAACTTCTCGAATTCAGCATTGCTTGGAGTAATCACTGTTTAAAGCTATTATTGGCGGACATATTCTACCAATGTTTACCACGTGACGAGCGGAAGTACTAAGCATTTCTGACGTCCCTTTTGTTAAAGAAGGCACGGTTGGCCTAGTCGTCCAAGGCGTCGGAATCCGACGAGTTACCTCCCTTATACGTGCCTATGATCGTGGGTCCGGATCCCAGATTCGCCCTATTATGTTATGTGAAATGTCAGCACCATACCCATGCTCACGGGTTTCACCAAAGTGGTAAACGTCTGAGACCTGCATCACTTCGGAGCTTCCTCCCACATTAAGCTGACCCGCCGTGAAATAACTGAAATACTGTTTAAAGCGGCGTAAAACTAAACTCACTCACCCTTGTGGTTACGCATCTGGTTCAAATGACGTTTCTCATATCATAACTGAGAACAGTTCTTGTACTTTATTTCATTCGTACCAAAACGGGTTCAGATAACGAGTATAACAAGAGATATCTAAACGTTACGCATCTGGTTTAGATGGTGTGTTCTATTACGCAAATGAGCAAATGTTTTCCCTACCTGATTTGCATTGACCGTCTGTTTGTTTTTGAGCGCTAACATCTTAGCCATCGAGACTGACTGCGCGAAGGCTATGACTCCAATGATGACGGCATCGCCAATGTGTGACGTCACTAGGCTGACGTCAGGGATCTTGGGCAGGGGAATACTGCATGAAAGGAGTATATATTACTGTCAGTACAACCACATGACGATCATATGGACACATGAAGCTTGGATGTAGGGTCCGGCTGCTCACGATACACTGCTGGCGTTGGAGACTATTTGGCCTTCAGGACCCCGTTCCACAAAGCGATCTTAAAGCTACGACTGTCGTAAGTTTATGTTAAAATATGGGAGTTACGATCGTCTTAACACTCACATCGCTTTGTGGAACGGGGCAAAGCACTGCAACTGGCTGGGGGAGTCTCTTCACCATTGCGTCCCTTCACCGTGATAGGACCCGATGGTCGTGAGTTCGAATCCCAGATTCCACGAATCTCACTCGTTCATTATATTTAACTGTACCATCAAAAAGTATTTAACACACTAATACAAAAATATTAGTATTCTTAGTAATACATAATAATTATAGAAAATATGTAACCATGAATACCTACCCTGCGGGGATTTCTCCTATGACTTTGACGTTAAAGTTGTTCTTAAACTGTCCGAAATGCGAAACCACTGTTCCAATTATCACCTGCAGACACATACAGAACTCGTGATTTCAAGACAAATGCTCCCCTGGTTGGTCCTGATTGTAACAAGAACCAGACGCACATATATGTGTATGCTCACGGTACCTCCTATGATCGTATGTTGACGTTAATTCCACAGTAATGTACATGTGACAAATACGCGGGTGGACAGTACGCCACCAAATGGTCATTATGTTTTCAAAAGAGGTACATGAAACCCTCAACACTGGGCGTGGGTCTGTGTTAATAAGGGTCGAGACTTTGTGGGTAAGCGATGCGTTCTTTGAGTATTTCTGCGTAGTTTTAAAGGTCGAACTATAATAATGACCAGTTTGGCCCAATCAGAGCCGTAAATGTCATGCGATCGTTGAGTATTAACACCAGAGGTCACTGAGTTGTTTTAAAGGTTGAACTATAATAAGGACCAGTTTGGGCCGGAAAAGTCAAACGTTACGGAAAGTTTACATATGACTGACACATGGCATGCTTTCGTTCGATCACTTGCAAGAGTTTATGTTGATACCGGCTTTAACTAAATCAGTTTGGGTCAAATACTAGTTAATGTTGGAATATTTACACTTAGACAAAACATTCCTGAAAACCCTAAAAATCATCATGTTTGGCAAATATTGACCAAACCTATATGTATCCATATATATGAATTAATAAAGTGAGGGGGCACGGGTGGCCAAGTCGTCTAAGGCGCCGCGATTCGCTGTGCAGAGTTGCGTCCCTTGGGCGCGCCAGAAACCTATGATTGTGGGTTCGAAACCCGATGTGCCCCGATTATGTTTCTAGGTTTGTCAGCACCATACCCGTGCTCGTGGGTTTCACCGAAGTGGTAAACGTCTGAGACCTGCATCACTTCGGGCTTTCCTCCCACATTAAGCTGACACACCGCTATATAACCGGAATACTGTTAAAAGCGGCGTTAAACCCAACTCACTCACTCACTAATAAAGCGAAATGTCATCATTTCCGTGTACTCAAATGCACAAGTATATGCGATCATAATGTTTTGTTATTACTTAAGCTAATAGTTGTAATTATTGATAATGACTATCACTGAAGTATTATTGCGTATTTGAGTAAACAGAAAGTCTCAAATTTGTTTTCAGTTTTAAACGACAATGGATAATGATAACTGTATTTAATCATACCTCGTGTTCAGAAAACAATAATGCTGGCCAGGATTTGTATTCAAAATTTTGAATATGTTCACATCTTATTTTAACGAATCATTTTTTAGAAAACATATGTGATCCAATCACAGTGAAATCAAACACCAGTACACGTTAAATCTGAAAAAAGAGACATAAGACATTAAGACAGTTCCGTTTGAGTATAGTACAAGTTTTGGTATATTACCAACCACTATAAGTTCAATGGGTACAGGGATGCGGAGCCTCTTTTTGAATCTCTCGTTGATCTGTGTCTTGATGACGTATATGATGACCATGCTGACGGCTGACGTCACCACAGGTATCCAGTTGGTGTCCGCGATGTTCCGGAATATCTCTATCCACGTCTGATGAGAAAACATGGCGTGAATCAGTGGTTAAACGCTATCACGACATCTTGTCATAAATTGACGATCGCGAATTGTAGTCCACACACGTTTTGGTAAATCGTAATTTTAAGAGTGCTTTCTTAAAAAATACGAATATATTCTTTCAAGTTTGAAGTTTTATCATTCTTGTAGGATGAAGTAGGATGCAGAAGGATAAAAACAAACATCAACGCCAGAGAATAACCATTCTTAATCATTAACCAAAACAGATTTCGTCGGGCGCAAAATAACAGTGAAAATTAAATGTATGGATCATTGAAATCAGTGATGACACCAGTGGAAAGAGATTCTTTAAATTAAGCCATGGAGAAATAGTCACATGCTGGGAGGACGGAATTAGCTCGTGGCATAAATACGTCAGAAGTAATTCCGTGTCTACGAACCAAATGTTATAATAGCTACCAAGTGACACATGTATATAGGACAACCCACGATAAAGTGAGCCTCATTAAGGGAATAAGTCGCGCTCTGAATGAAACCTCGGTGACCACCTTCAATAACCGCAGAATGATTTATCTGCCCTCGGGGGATATCACATTGATACGCTATGCCTTGAGCAAGTGGTTGACAGTGTGAGCACTTTTCACCGTCATACTGGTGAAGGATGACGAAGGATAAGGCTGCGGGTGTTTTCTTGGGGGTCGCTGGTTGAAGTCCTATCTGAGCAGAACTAATTTTATACTTTAATGTTACTTTAACAATATTCGACCAATATCACGGCGGTGCACACCAGAAATGGGCTTCACACACTGTACCCATGTGGGGAATCGAAACCGGGACTTTGACGAGACGAGCGAACGCTTTAACCACTAGACTACCCCACCTTCCCAAAACCTGATGAAAACAACTGAAATCGATCACTCAGAAATTTCTGCCCCATTCGCTCCTCTTTGGGGGCGGTTGGGTAGCCTGGTGGTTAAAGCGTTGGCTCGTCACGCCGAAGACCCGGGTTCGATTCCCGACATGGGTACAATGTGTGAAGCCCATTTCTGGTGTCCCTAAAAGCAACGAAAAACCCATACTCACTCACTCACTCACTCGCTCCTCTTTGATCATGTTGAAAAATAAATATTTAGACTGGTATGATTTCGATTAATATTCCCAACATACCTTTATGACCTTGAAGACACCATTAAATCTCTTGACCTTTAACCCAAGCACGTTCTTTATCTGACTGGACACGACGTGGATGGCGACGCCGGTTGTGAAGCCGCTGATGAGGTACTCCGACATATACGTCGTCAAGAAGCCCATCCCAAGCTTCCCCAGGACCATCTGTAGGGAATACAGTGAAACCTGCCTAGTCCGGACACCAATAGTCAGGACACCCATTAATAAGAACAGACATACAGACAGATAGACAGAGCATACAAACAGGGCATAGACAGACGGGGCATGGACAGACGGGACATACAGACACTTAGGGCAGGCATACACACAGCCAGACATACAGACAAATAGTCGGCATACAGCCAGACAGTCAGACATCTAGGGCAGGGCATACAGCCAGACGGTCAGACAGCCAGGGCATACAGCCAGACGGCCAGACATCTAGGGCATACAGGCAGACGGCCAGACAGCCAGGGCATACAGGCAGACGGTCAGACAGCCAGGGCATACAGGCAGACGGTCAGACAGCCAGGGCATACAGGCAGACGGTCAGACAGCCAGGGCATACAGGCAGACGGTCAGACAGCCAGGGCATACAGCCAGACGGCCAGACAGCCAGGGCATACAGGCAGACGGTCAGACAGCCAGGGCATACAGGCAGACGGTCAGACAGCCAGGGCATACAGGCAGACGGCCAGACAGCCAGGGCATACAGGCAGACGGTCAGACAGCCAGGGCATACAGGCAGACGGTCAGACAGCCAGGGCATACAGCCAGACGGCCAGACAGCCAGGGCATACAGGCAGACGGTCAGACAGCCAGGGCATACAGGCAGACGGTCAGACAGCCAGGGCATACAGGCAGACGGTCAGACAGCCAGGGCATACAGGCAGACGGTCAGACAGCCAGGGCATACAGGCAGACGGCCAGACAGCCAGGGCATACAGGCAGACGGTCAGACAGCCAGGACATACAGGCAGACAATCAGACAGCCAGGGCATACAGCCAGACGGTCAGACAGCCAGGGCATACAGCCAGACGGCCAGACAGCCAGGACATACAGGCAGACAATCAGACAGCCAGGGCAAACAGCCAGACGGCCAGACAGCCAGGGCATACAGCCAGACGGTCAGACAGCCAGGGCATACAGGCAGATAGCCCGGGCATAGACAAACACCCGGCATGCAGGCAGATAGATAGACAGGACATACAGGCAGACAGACAGACATAGAGAGCAGCCAGACAAGGCATACTGGCCGATTGACAAACAGACATATGGACATGGCAAACATGCAGGTACACAGACAAACAGATATACAGACATACATACATAGACATGCACAGACACTGAATACATAATTATACTTGTGTGATGTATAACATTTATCCTTAGGTCACCACCAACAGTCCGTGAACTATTCCATCAAGATACACGCTTGTAAGACATTGAAAGCGTGTGACGTTGAACCTGACTTACGTAGAATACGTAGAATATTTGAGACTTAATACTTAACGCATTAAAACCGCCACGCCATTAGAAGGCACTATATGGCCTGGTTCCATTACAACATAGCCTAAGTGACCAGTGAAGATGCGGGTTAGAATTGGTCTTCAGCAACGCATGCTTGTCGTAAAAGCAGACTAAATGATTGCATGGTCATTATTTACAGCTGGACTTGCTGAGTGCGGCGTTAAGTAAAAAATAAACATACCCCAAGTCAATTATATGGCAATATGTTTTGTTCATGTCCGAGGGCACAGACATATCCAAGTCGTTGTCGCAATTCGCATATCAGAGTTGCGTCCCTTACAGATGCCAGAATACTATAACTGGTCTTTACCTCAGCATCATACCCGTCCTCGTGGGTTTAACCAACGTTGTAAACGTCTAAACCAATCTCATTCACTTCTATGGTTTCACACATTAGACTGACGCACCCCGATATTCCCCAGTATGTTGTTACTGACAGAATAACGACATTTACCATGACCAAGCCGGACACAAGGGTAAGTGCTGTAGCAATTTCTATCTTTCTAAAATCGGTGGCCCTCTCAATGTCAAGGTCGGAAAGGTTCCCTGGTTGAGTCAAGTTGAAGGTCGTTCCAGGAATGCCCGTGTCAGCTGCCAGGCGTGTGTCAAGCACCGCGGCTATCATCAGACTCACGACCGCTATCGTACCTGTCAAGTATTGGAAAGCATTCAATCATGGTCATACAACACGCTGTAGATATGCCATTCCACAAGATAACATAGCCATGATGTTCCTTAAATTAAAAGTTAAAGTGAAATAACTGTATACCAGCACAAAGAAACTGAATATTGTAATGTTATATTCTACAGTTTATGATTTATGAAATATGCTAAGATATTTGCTCTCAGGGGCATTGTTGGTCCAATGTAACGAAACTTTTGAAAATGTCTCTCTTTCAATATTATTAATGAAATATATAGTAAACAGAATGTTACATAAGCAAATTTACATTGTATCCTTCAAAGACTAACTTACGACCACCGCGTCAGTTCAAATAAAATAAAATCGTATTTGGTACGCAGATTCAACATTTAAAAAGAACAGAGGTGTATGTAAATAGTTTCTTGATATTCGTTTCAGTAATGTAACTACAGATCGCGCCCCTTTTCTCAATGTATTCGAGATTCAGAGGTGAGAAATGAGACTCAGAGTGAATAATTAGACGCTATACGTGATTCAAGGGAGGAGGGGGTAAGCACCCTCATTAACGGCACTTTGTCATAATTATTACAAGAACACAATTATATAGAATACACTTCATTTAGTAATACTATCATTCTCCCGGACGTTCCCGAACGCTCCCCACGTTGCCCGGACGTTTCCGGACGCTCCCCGCGTTGACCGGACGTTTCCGGACGCTCCCGGGCGTTATTTTGTAGGACCGACATGGTGGTAAATGTCTACAACCTGTATCAGGAATAGGCCTCTTGCTGTCCTTCCTAATGGTGAATATATTATCACCCCCTTAGTTTTGTGATTTTGTTCCTATGGTAGCTGTTGCAAGTAATTATGATCTCAGAAACTGCTCAAAACTTCAGCATTAATCTGCATGTACATTTCCAAAAACTCATGAAATTATTATGATTAAGACAACGGCCTAATCCAATAAACGTAGTGTTTAGTCTGAATAAATGTGCCAATTAAAAACAACCTCGTCCATCCAAGGATACAGACGCATCCCTAGAAGTGGGCAGTTCAGACGCGGGACGATTGAAGTGGGCAGATGTCTTTTAGACACTTATGCATATGATCATGTGACTTTCGCGAACACCTGGTGTCATCACTATTTAATAACGATTCATAAACACATGATAATTATAATAGTAGGAATGGTATAATGGACATGGGGTCCAGAGGATTTTAATAATGGAAAGGGTTCTGTCGCTTTCATCTAAGTCAAAGTAGAAACAACCCAACATGTTATTCCTTCATTCGCTTGCCCTCACATTTTGCTTCATTTCTGCATCCTTCACATTATGTTTTCCTTCTATTCCTCCTCATCCCTATCCGTGATGCTATTATCTCCCCATCCACTGTTCAAATAGGCCCGCCCTGGACACACAAACAATGTCACATGCCAACACTCCCCTACCTGGACGTAAATTATACAACCCCACAAAGCTGAAAGGTCGTGGGCAGTAAGATAAGACATATAGCTGAGCAAGAACCCTTATATTACTCAACGTTAGCTGTTTAAATTATTTCTCTTTAATCTGACTGTAACCCAATACACTCATTCCTAGCCCTTCTTAAGCCCTACAGGCCTAACGTCATCGACACTGAGGTTCCAACACATCAGTTCTAACTAAAAGACATAACATCAGATTCTGTCAGAAATGAAATGCGACCCGTGGAGATTCCGGGGTAGAATAGATCTTCAGCAACCCATACTTGCCGTAAAAGGCAACTATGCTTGTCGTAAAAGGCGACTAACAGGATCGCGTGGTCAGGCTCGCTGACTTGGTTGATTCATGTAATCGATCCCAATTGTGTGGATCGATGCTCATGATCTGGTCTGGTCCAGACTCGATTATTTACAGACTGCCGTCATATAGCTGGAATATTGCTGAGCGCGGCGTTATACAAAAACAAACAAACAGAAATGAAATACCATGGTGACGCGTTTAAGTCACATTTTACTTGGGGTCTTCTAGCCTCGGAGTATCCCTCGATGACTCCTTTAAACTCTTACACATCAGTGGATACGGAACATATTTTACGTAGATATATATTTGGCATTACCGTCCCATGTGTTCCCGTGTTTACCACGTGTGTGTGACGGGTGCCACCGGTGGAGCAGGATACGCTAACCTTTCCCCGAACACCTGGTATCCTCACTTTTTGATAGTGATTCATAAACACATGCTCATGATGGAGTCGCAACTGTACATTCGACTCTGCTTTTAACACAGATTTCTTGTGACTATGGAAAGTGTTTTGTCGCTTTTATTTAAAAGGGCAAAGTTCTGGTAACAGTATCAACGGAGAGAACTTATGGTGGCCGAATAATCTAACGCGCCTCAATTCGCTGTAATACGTACTGAGAGATGCTGGTCTCTGTTCGAATCTAGAATTTCAACAGTTATGAACATATAGGTGTCAGTACCATGCCCTCCGTCGTGGGTTTCACCAATGCGGTACCTGTGTGGTCATTTGATCATTGATGTATTCTCCGAATTCTGACGATGTAATCGAAATACTGTTCACAACATTCAACACTCTCACTGCCACATTGCCATTATTCATGTACTACATGTATGTTGTAAAATGCATGTCACAGTTCAAGTGTTAAACAAAACGCACCCACTCTCTTACCTAACCCATTCGGATTCACTCGGCCTTTCCCGTCACCTACACAATACCACGGACACCAACGGAGTAGGGAATTTCCATGAATTTCCTGTAAACCGCATAACACCGGATCCCACCGCATATAGTTCCTATATTAGTGTATGTATAATGTATTAGACATTTGTGCTGTTGTATATTTTGTGCAAAAGAGAAATTAGGCACACTTCTTCTTGAAAACAAAAGCAAACAAAACTATTTGAACCGTTTTTAAAGGATAACGGCTGCCGCCAGGTGATAGTCACGTGCACAAACCTAGTTCCAACATGGATTCCTGCGCGGCTGCCGAGGTCATGGAGGGTGTCGAGCCGGGTGTAACTTACCCATGGAAGCATGTCTGGATGAGCCGAAGAAGAAGTAGATGAGTGGGGCAAACAGGGACGTGTAGAGGCCGCAGATCGGGGGGAGAGAAGCCAGTGCTGCGTACGCCATCCCTAGAGGAGGAAACCACGTGTGTTGAAACGCCAATCATGTAAACTGAAGCATTATATTTCTGAAACATTATTATTATTCCAGTAAGTCAGCGTATATAATCAATAATCCGTTGTTTCGATTGAGACACCTTGTCAAGTATACACGTACATTTAAAACATAACATGAGTGAGTGAGTGAGTATGGTTTTACGCCGCTTTTAGCAATATTCCAGCAATATCACGGCGGGGCACACCAGAAATGGGCTTCAAACATTGTACCCATATCGGGAATCGAACCCGGGTCTTTGGCGTGACGAGCGAACGCTTTAACCACTAGGCTACCCGATCGCCCCAAAACAGAACGTGAAAAGAAACCCGCAAGAATGGATTAGGAGGTTTAAAGGACACTTTTTATGGACAAGTTTATGGACAGGTTTATGTGTAAACATCGTTCACAAGCAACCGACGTAATATTTCAAAGAAGTACATTGTTAAACATGTGGCTTCTTCGGTCTACCGTGTTTATGCCGTGGCAGCAAGAGACACGTTTTACTCAGATCTCACTAATCCGGATCACCTGTCTAAACCGAGATAAACTTACGGGTCTACATGTTTGGTTTTGACAGATTCCAATACACATGAAGTGCTCAGTTTTTTCATTACTTATTTTATGTGTGATTTAAGTTTTAGCCAGAACTTATTGTAAAATGAATCGGTATGTGTGCTGCAACACGCGTACATATATATGCTTTTGTACAGCCTTGGGTGCCATTCCTTTTGTTAACACTCATTATCATGTAACAAATGCGCAGTTCCAGTAACCAAGTGAAAGCCCTTGACGATACATATTTGTATCCCGTCAATGCAATCATTCCCATCTCCCGGACCGCCTCCGTGGTCTAATGGTAGAGCGTCCGCCCGGAGAGCGGAATGTCCGGGGTTCGATCCCCAGCCGCGTCATACCAAAACACGTTAAAAGATTGTACTTGTTGTTACCCTGTCTGGCGCTCGGCATTAAGGGGCTAAAGCAAGGACTGGTCGGCTCGGAGTCAGTATACTGTGTCTGAGTGGGGTATTCATGTTAAACTGCGGCATGGTAACTCAGTGTGCTAGCACTATAAATCGGCATCAGTCCGGACTAGTACAAGCAGCAACACACACACACATACACGTGCATGCACGTCGCTATATAAGTGCAATAATTTTGGACGCGACGTTAAACCCCATTTCACCTCACCTCACCATCTCCCGAGGTGGTATACAACCCATGCTGCCTTACTAGTGAGTGAGTAAAAATTTAACGTCGCATCGGCCATGTAGCGAATGCCTTAAGCAACGCTGGAAGGTTTTCAGTCAAACTACAACCTAATCAAACCTGGCATTTATTCACTGCTGGGTCAGTGGGCAGGAAAATCACTTGCCTAAGGAGACACCATAGGTAACATGCGGTCGCTCAACGAGATCTCTACGCATACAATTTCATGAAATAATTTACTGTAGCATTTTTGAACAAGTGTTTCAAGTTTCGGGTGGTCATTGTAAAGGCGTCGTCACTGGTCTTCAATTGGCTTGCTTGTTCACTGTTAATATCCGTCATGCTATTTGTCATATATAAGTGCTTAAGTTGTCCCACGTGACCTTGTTGAGAAAACAGAAAAGTGTTCTTAATTGGGTTATAAAATTGCCAACGTAGAAAGACTTGACTCACTTACATAACTGCATGTATAGAGAAGCTACTTGAGACACATTCCTCTGAAATGCTTTTATAAAAAAAAATATAATCTTTCATTGCATCAAAGATATATCACATTTGACAACATTATTTAAATACTAAAATATTGATCTCTCTTAACATTAGGATAGTGCAAGTAAATGATTTAAGTTGTCACCACAGTTATGTGTGTTGGTACTTGTTGAATGAATGTCATGGCTTAAAATGTGAACCTAAATTAAATGATTTTTAAGATATGGGATATGTTTCATATGACTGTCATCTTGTTCTCTATCATTTGGAAGTTATGTACTTATGAAATGATACAGAACAGAGAGATATGTCTGAAAGAAGTAAAAACATATGTCTTTCTCGCGAGAGCATGGGTTAGAGATAGGTTCATCCTTAAATGTTCTATAATAAGCATTTTACATACATTTTAGCATCACCTTTGAATTGTGGGCACGCTTTCCTCTGAAATGCTAAATAAACGCAATATGCCTTCAGAGACCATGTGATATTCTGGTGGGGAGGGGGAGTGGGGGGTTGGGGATGAGGAGAACTTGGATTGTTTTTGATTTTTTGTGAGAATAGTTTGTTCCGGAAAATACTGGACTAACTAATTTTGCTGTAGTGTTTTGTTTGCTGGACAAGAGTGACGTGCAGAAGAAAATGGTTCGGTTTTTCCTTGCCGAGAATGAATGTTTCGAAGTAGTGCCCGAAAACATATCCTGTCTCTAACAGTAAAGGGCTCCTTCACTTGTCCCCTAGTAGCCGGGAGCTCGACTGGCAATAACGGATTGCACATAATCTTGAACGTTGTGTCAAGTAAGGCGAACACATTCAATGGTAAACAAATAGGGACTCTGATAAAGCTGCTTCTGATCCATTGACAGTTGTAATCAATGAAGCCAGGTAACCTGTGATTAGCGGTTTAACTTTCCCCCTGAAAACTGAGAGTCATCATGACTCACTGTATATAATTGTGTAAGTGTTTTAGCAAAGCCACGTGGAAGTATTTAACTGTTATCAGGTATTAAACACAAAACACAAAATTAAACTGCATTCATGTCAGCGTTGAAGGGATTAGAAGTCCTGAGTCAACACCATGAATGTCCGCTTGATTCAGACACGTTAGTCGAACAGTTTTACGACTTGAAATCATACTGCAAACAGGTGAGTTCAAATTTAACGTCACATCGGAGTATTTCAGTCACATCGTGGCCATAAGAAGGGAATCAGTGCACGTGGTAAAGCTAGGCTACCTCAAATACTTCCACGAACACCTGGTGTTCTCATGGTCTCAGGTCTGCATTAATTCGAGTATAGGCCACCTCCATCGAATTATTTATATTATGACAGAAATCGGGGTACATGTTGACAATCGTAGGAACCAATAACAAAACATGAAGAATTACCCCTCTTACCTGATATGTGAACCAAACTAAATTTGATAAGAAACATCTACAAATACTGAATCTTAAATAAAAATGGTTATTGAAATTTAATCCTATGACTTACCTTGTGGAATTTGCATAATACCAACTGTCATTCCAGCAATGACATCATTCGGTAAATATCGAAGAATGTTGTAACCACGCATTATCTTCAGAAATGGGAAATTCTCCAAAACAGTCTTCTTTATGGCTTGTCTGGAACATGTCTTCTTCAGCCGAATACTACACTTTTCTCTGAGACTATTCTGTGACGGTGTTCTTCTGTACCTTTCTTCAAAGTGATATAAATCCCTGGGGTGACCTTCCGCTCTGCCCTCACCATCACAGGTCAACATCGACAGCCAAACATCTTTGTCCGTCATCATGCAAGCAGTACTGTTTCCTTCCAAAGGATCGCCTTTAATCTTTACGTTATGTTAAAGACGCCTTGTACTTATATAAATATATAAACTGTCACGTGTTCAGTTCTCTGGTCGTGTGGATAATGACGGGAATGCTTGTTAGCGCTACACGTTCCAACCTTGACCTGCAGAGATGTTAAAATTATTCATCACGTTCAAAATAGACAATGACCGTCAAGTGCATATACCTACAACATACCCAGGATAAAATAGACTTCACATCAACTGCAACTATAAAAAAAAGTTCCACAAAGCATTCAATCAAGATCTCTACTGATGATAACATCACCAGCTTCTGCTATGGTAAAGTGCATATGCACTAGTATAATTAAAAAATTAAGTATTGGTAAGGCCGAATTAAAGCAGAGATAAATATACAGTGTTTTAGGCTTTAGAAATGAATAATAGTTATAAAACCTGTTCGATCACATTACAAATTAAAAAAAGATATCACTTGATTAACTTATAGTACACAAAACAAAGGCGAGGCGGTTTAGAAATGAACTTAACCTTCAAACGTGACAAGTGAAAGTGACTCAAGGCAGGGCATGATCGTCCATTAAGTTGCCAGTTGTTGTGATCATCGCATTGTGTTACACGGTTGTCTTTCTTAAGCCTCTTTATGTGATACGCGACCGCCTCCGTGGTCTAGTGGTAGAGCGTCCGCCCGGAGAGCGGAAGGTCCGGAGTTCGATCCCCGGCCGCGTCATATCAAAAGACGTTAAAAGATGGTACTTGTTGTTACCCTGTCTGGTGCTCGGCATTAAGGGGCTAAAACAAGGACTGGTCGGCTTGGAGTCAGTATACTGTGTCCGAGTGGGGTATTCTTGTTAATCTGCGGCATGGTATCTTAGTGTGCTAGCACTATAAATCGGCATCAGTCCGGACTAGTACAAGCAGCCACACACACACTCAAGTGCATGCACGTCGCTATATAAGTGCAATAATCTTGGACGCGACGTTAAACACCATTTCACCTCACATCACTTTATGTGATCCAATAAGATACTGTCCAAAACACAACAGGAACGGGAGTGAGTGTGAGTTAGTTGTATTGTGGGCCGCTTTTTGCAATATTCCAGCAATATCACGGCGGGGGACACCAGGTATGGGCAACACACATGGTACCCATGTGGGGAATCGAACCCGGGTCTTTGGCGTGACGAGCGAATGCTTTAACCACCAGGCTACCCCACCGCCTCAAAAAGGTAGGCGATCATGAAATATATGATGGTCAGTCGTCAGAAGAAATATTAGCTTTAACAAATGCTGCCAGAACCAAAACCTGACACCACAACTCAGCCGAAATATTGCACGTGGGCAATGCAGTTGCTTCGTGCGCGGGAGTATGGGGTCATTCTTGATTGTTTCACTTCAGGGAAAGCTCATGAAATCGCTCTGGGCCATTAGTATTGTTCATTTCCATTATCTATAGTAACACGTAAAATCGTTTTTTAATGCGGTATTTGTGATCGTATATAGCATGGGAACATCCCAAGGACTATTGGCATGCTTAAAACATGTAGAACTCAGCGAGAGGCAGCTAATATGTTCAGTGTGTCTCAGTCTGTGATTGGCAGACGTTGGGACAAATGTCTGCAGACACAAAATGTTGAGGATCGCCCCCCTCGGTCAACAACACAAGTCCAGGTTCGATAAATCAGAAAACTGGCTTTACACGTTGTTCCCAAACATTTTATCAAATCGTTGTCCATTGGGCCAGGTCACCTGAGTTCAAGTTACTGACGAGACGATTAGAAATCGTTTGCATGCTCGACGATCACGTGTTGTGCTGTCGTTAACAATCGACACATTCAAGCTAAACGTCAATGGTATTTACAGCGCAAAACTGGGGGAATCGCCGATGGCCTCGTATGTTTTCACTCTGGTATCCCTGCTTAGGTTTGTTTGTTGTTTAACGCCGCACTCAGCAATATTCCAGCTATATGAGGGCGGTCTGTAAATACTCTGAACCAGACAATCCAGTGATTGACATCATGAGCATCGATCCACGCAATTTGGATACGATGACATGGATCAACCAAGTCAGCGAGCCTGACCACCCGATCCCGTCAGTCGCCTCTTACGACAAGCACAGTCGCCTTTAACGGCAAGCATGGGTTGCTGAAGACCTATTCCAGCCTGGATATTCACGGTTCTTCTGCTCTGGCGTGGACGTGTCTGAAGACGCTCTAAAGAACGTCAACGTAAGTCACATGACAGATAGAGGGTCGGTAATGATATGAGGCAGGATCACGATGACTTCCAGAACGCCAGTGCATATTTACCATGGAAGGGCCATTGGACAGTATCACCGAGGCATGCAAGCGCCAAATGTTGTGCCTTTTGTGCATCACGATGCTCCACGATTTTTTTTCTTTCAAGACGATAACGCCCGTGCCCACCGTTCACGGACTGTAACTGACTAGCTCCAGCGGCAAAGCATCACCAGCATGCAAAGGCCAGGAACGAGCCTCATCCTCTCCCGATAGAGCACGTCCGGGGCATGATCAGGAGACGTGAACGGCGAAGTCGAAGGCGACCGCTATGTTAGCCGAATTGGGCCAGGAGAGGACAAGACCTCCCGATATTGTCATTGTGACATTGAATAGCACCATGCCATGTCGTATTAATGAATGCTTGGCCAATCTTGGGGGCATGAACCATTACTTATCAAGTCATCTCAAACGTTCATCCTTTTGTAAAACACCCCCTGTCGTCTTTCTTGTTTTATGGGGGCGGTGGGTTAGCCTAGTGGTTAAAGCGTTCGCTCGTCACATCGAAGACTTGGGATCGATTCCCCCACATGGGTACAATGTGTCAAGCCCATTTTTGGTGTCCACCGCCGTGATATTGCTGGAATATTGCTAAAAGCGGCGTAAAACCATACTCAATCACTACACCCTCACAACACACCTCCAAAATGGTCTGTTCATTGTCATGTTACACACGGGTCCTTTTTCTTATCTACCCATCACTCGATACACCTATGTGTCTCTGTAATCATGTGTTATTTTCGAATATCCACCTCTCTTTTAGGAGAGCATATCATATATCGTCGTGAGTGACTGAGTATAGACGGGCAGGCGGGCGAGCGGGCAGATGGGGGAGTGTTTGCTTGATTGTTTGTTGTTTAAAGCCGCACTCAGCAATTTCCAGCTATATGACGGCGGTCTGTAAATAATCGAGTTTAGACCAGACAATGCAGTGATTGACATCATGAGCAACGATCCACGCAATTGGGATACGATGACATGCATCAAGTCAGCGAGCCTGACAACCCGATACCGTTAGTCGCCTCTTACGACAAACATAGTCATCTTTTATGGCAAGCATGTGTTGCCGAAGACCTTTTCTACCCCGAATCTCCACGGGTAAGATGGGTGGGTGGGTTGGTTGGATTGCAGACGGTGTAAACCAATGCATTCTAGAATCACCAGTTGTTATTAAATGTCATGCAGATATGCCAGTGCTAGAACTTTTTACAAATACCAGGACTTGTCGCTCGCTGTTAATCAAACATGTTTTACGAAATTATTTTATTTTTGTTTCAAAATAGAGTTTAGTTTTTTCCTTTACTCGAGTGAAATAACATGTAGATTGAGACAAACGGAAATCCCACACTAAGCATTGATGTAAAGCATTGATGTAGACAAGGGTTTTAATATTGGACATTAAATCGTCTTTTACTATATATCGTTTTTCATTGTAAGTTTACAAAGCTAAAATAATAGTTCATATGAATAGTTTACATGCAACTTGCAAACAAGTGTGTTGGAAATGTTCACGAAGACATGCTGCTTGTACACATTGCGTTGCACTGCTTTCAGTGAGTGAGTTGGGCTTAATCGGGGAGAACCGTGATTCGAACGATCATTCGATTCTGGCACGCCCAAGGGACGCAACTCTGCACAGCTAATTGCGGCGCACGTTGCACTGTTTTGAACAAGTGTACATGTAGCTTTTTTATGATACGGACGCACTATCCTTACCAGTAAAAACAGTTGTACATCGATTAACTTCGCACACTTTAGGGTATAGTTCAAAAGTTCGATGTCAGATAACGACTTCGTTCAATTAATTTCAGTTTGTGACATACCCTAAATATGATTGTGAAAGTGGTGACACTGATTAAGCAATAAATACTATTTCGATTACTAATACTACTTATTCATTTGATAATTTTACTTGTTTAATGGTTTTATTGTAAACTGCCAGGCTAAAGAACTTCTAGGTAGAAAACTATCGCCAAGACACTGCAAACTCAAGGTCCAAAACACAACTATGATACCCGTATCAAATACATCATCATTGGATAACCATTTCTTGTTTGTTTCATTTAAGCCACCATCAAACATGGTTGTATACTTTCTTTTGTCCTGCAATGTATTACTTCTTTGGTGATATAATAGAAATGCCGAATGCATAATATCTCGAAATGAATAAGTAATGTAACTAAATGATTTAGTAATGTTACCTATATCGTTTAGTAATCTTACTAAATTGCTATTACCGTCCATTTCTATTATGTTGGCACCAAAACTGTCATATGACATGAGCAATATTTTCTCACAGTTGGTCAGGTGTAATACACCAGCCCCGTTACTCGATACGGCTGTCACATTCGCATTCAGAGCCCCATACTCTAACCTTATAGTTAACTGCCATGATTAATGACTTTGGAGTAAATCAATATTCACATACGCAAGTTTATATTCCATTAATAATACTCGTAAATCGTTTTTCTTGACACGTTGAAATATGAGAAGATTCGATAACAGCTGAAATTATCATTAGTGATCGCATTTAAATAATACTAGATTTAATACAAATAAGCTATCCCGTTTTTGACGTTATTAATTTATTTGTCAGTTTATAATTAATATCATCATGGTCATTATCAATACATGTTGCTGTCACGTGGCAAAAGTTTCAGAGAAAACTTACGGACCAAACCTTGAAGTAAATAACTCATTACACTTTATTTTTTCCCCATTTCAGTGTGATAAATAATAAACAAAATATACACGTATATACAATGCTAGCAAAACAGAAAAGAAACACGCAAAGAAATATAGCTTGCATAGTTAGGAACACGTACCTCCCAAAACGCAGTGCCTCCCTCTAACAGTCGACAAGCGGTTGAGGCCAAACCGTATCTATGTCAGTGTTAGATAAGGCGACCCCGGGCCTCCCGGCTTTCTCTTGCTATCGCTGATGAAATTGTCACTGATACGTAAGCCGTGTAGTGTGAAGGGATTTATTCATACTTGACGTTAAGGGCCCCATGAAGTGTACTTGTAAATTACGTGTCCGGTTTTTTTTTCGGTAAGGGAAGAAATTGAGTAAACAGACTTATTGAATCTCGTTTTAAGCCACTTTTTGAGATATTCTGGCAATCGCAATACAAATCTGTCCGAGGCGTGAAACAAATAAATAGAAATAAAGACAATATACGAATTAATATACTATTGATATGGTTGATGAAATAACGGTGAATTTATTGACACAAGTTTTAATTTACAGTATTGTTACAATTTTTTCCCATAACGTGTATAATTTTAATCCTATTTAAACCTAATTCGCGAACATCTGGACTCGGTAATTACTGCGTTGCAAGGATGTTCTAATATTCAGAGGGAGAGAACCAGGACTTGCACATAGCGATGTTAGCGCTAAAGTACACTACAACGCAAAAGTTATCGTGTTCTGCAGTAACATTGCGAAAAATTCGCGAATATTCCGCGCATAATTTGCAAATAATTTGCGAATAATTTGCGAATAATTCGCGAATAATCACCTGTAATAATCACGGATATCCGCGGATTTCTGCGAAAACTATTTTATTGTTTTTGGCACGAATTATGAGTTTTATGGGACACTATCACGCCGTCAACGCGTGGCGGCCCATGGCAATACTCTCCATACATGTACAATGTATACTATGATGCCACGCTGTGAATGGATTGCAGGTACATGTGATAAATACATGTAAACACCAGTTTGTAAAATATTCCTGTTGTAATAACGCTATCATTAAATCTTCTTTTTGACGTGAATATTTAATTTATGATCAACCTCCATTGTGTCTCTTGCCTTGTACAAATCTACATGTATACATGTATGTACTAGCATATACTGATGTAGTGGTTTGATACATACCACTTTAACACTGGTTTTATAACAGTTGATGTGTGTACATGACATGTACATTTACTTGGTGTTTAAAAACACCTACAATGTACATGTATGGACGGGCGTCCTGATTAGTGTGGCCACACAGTTAACGTTGATAACAATATGAAGTGCATGGCATGTACTCCAATAAAACTGATCATTATATACGCATTTGCATTAAATACATATACTTCAATTCCGGTGTTATTTAAATTAAAACTGTCAATGATGGATCTTCCTGTGTGTAAGTGCCACTTGTATTGTGATGTAACAGTAGACGTTGTACGTGATACCAAAAGATAAAATATAGGACTTCTTGTTACTGACCTGGCGCTCGGCATTAAGGGGCTAAAACAAGGACTGGTCGGCTCGGAGTCAGTATACTGTGTCTGAGTGGGGTATTCTTGTTAACTGCGGCATGGTATCTCAGTGGACTACTGCTATAAAATCGGCATCAGTCCGGACAAGTACAAGCAGACACACACACGCACGCACGCACGCACGCACGCACGCACGCACGCACGCACACACACACGCACGCACGCACGCGCACGCACACACACACACACACACACACACACACGTTGCTATAGAAGTACAATAATCTTGAACGCGACGTTAAATCCCATTTCACCTCACCTTAACTTGTGATTACATTTTGTTTTGAAAAACACTTATCTATGGAGTAATTCAAATTGTAGTTTTTACTATTGGATACAACTTGATTACTAAAACTGGTTGCCTCATATTAATACGATTGGCAGTTTATTGACAGCTTTGATTCACAGGGATTACATACATATTGTCACTTTCTCAAATTTATCTGCGAGATATAATTTTTTCATCGGGTAAGAATAGTTGATTCGTCTATTCATACATTTTACGATTCTTACCCCATCGAATAATTGGCACCATACATTCCAGCAGAGAGTTTATGTTTTACTTTATTATCTACATGTATTGTTAAGTGTAGTAGATACTTACATCACTGTATCTCAGAACGCATAACTGACAACAGCCAAACACAGAGAATGGCTACATATCATTTCCTGTATATTCCTGCTTGAACAAAGAGCCAACATGTATGCTGTAGTCGGTGCAGTGTGTGTCCACATGTACAGTCTCAGCTGGCTGACGTCACATCTCCCATCAAGCCAGCCTTATTTCTCAAGCGGGGGCACGGGTGGCCCAGTCGTCTATGGCGCCGCGATTCGCTGTGCAGAGTTGCGTCCCTTGGGCACGCCAGAAACCTATGATTGTGGGTTCGAATCCCGGTTCGCCCCGATTATGTTTCTAGATTTGTCAGCACCATACCCGTGCTCGTGGGTTTCGCCGAAGTGGTAAACGTCTGAGACCTGCATCACTTCGGGCTTTCCTCCCACATTAAGCTGACACGCCGTGATATAACTGGAATACTGTTAAAAGCGGCGTTAAACCCAACTCACTCACTCTGTCTCAGCTGGCTGACGTCACATCTCCCAGCCTTACTTCTCAAGCATAATTTGATTCCGTAGACATTTTAAATGAAAGGAATTAAAAAAAATTCGTTTAATAATCATATTTAACAAACCTACATGTATTTTACCAAATAATGAAATTAAAAATCCCTATACGCCCGTTCTACATTTCGGTCCAATGGACCTGGATCCTTCACCTCGCTCGCAAAGGTCGAAGGTCGTGTACGACTTTAAAGTGAATACATTTACAGTGTACATGTATATGTGTTTTACTTTTAACTGCATAATATATATTCATGATAATCAATTATTCTCGTTCCTAATTCGAACGAACACATGTACATTCTAAGTCTAGATCTGCAAGATGACAGACAAAATCCTTCTTTGTACAATGCAAATAATACAAACGCAGCGGCTCGGGAAAGAAACAATACATGAATAATCTATGTGTTATCCATTATTTGTTATCGTTCAATCTATTGTACTTTACATTTGAAGTCATTTTAAAGATTCAAAGAGTACCGTCATGGTGTGGTATTATGAATAAAATTAGAATATGAATAGTGAAAAACAGTCACCATATGAGATGTGCGTGTATAACTTGTCTTCCACCACCACGCTTGTGTCGACGCCCGGGGGTCATAAAACTAATTGGTCCGAGAAAAGGGGCATTTAGTTCCGCAGATACTCCGTACTGGCTCCGCAGAGTGTTTGCGGAGATACGCAGAAATTGTACAAACATTCTGCATAACTACGCAAAAGTTTTACAAACATTCTGCGTAGTTACGCAAAAAATACAAACATTCTGCGTAGTCACCGCGTCAAGTCTAGAATGGTTTGGCAAGCTGAAATTAAGGATTGTTCTAGGCTCCATTTATTTTTTATTTTTTATTCTGACGATAATATTTTAATAGTGAGTGGGAGTGAGTGAGTTGATTCTTTTTACCTGTTGTGGCCGACGTTATGCTCCAGGCATATGACAACCAAGTGTTACTATGGAGACCACACATTTCCATGTATATATGCACCATATGACCTTAGCTACGACGTCTTTCAATTCCCAAGAATGAATCAATGACAGTCTTGAAAACAGAAAATAAACTCAACGAAGACAGGACACTGATCCCTAGACAGTAACAAATACTAGTAGATAATATCTATTTCGTTATTTGGCTCATATCCTATATTGTTGACCATGCCAGTCAGCAATGTCCACACTATATCAGTGCGGCCCGTAAATAATCGTATCTGGATCAGGCCAACCAGTCATTGAAAGCACGAACAATGATCCACGCCATTAATCATTTTAAGTCATTAGTCTGCAAATCACAGAGCCAATTCCCACTTAAGTCGGCTATTCGGATGCCGGATCTCAATAAGGGAATTACAGACCCGGGCCTAACATTTAGTACTGTCAGCTGGAACATGCCTGTTCCTGTACAACATGTGATATTGTGGCACAGTGGTAGTCGAATATATCTTACCTAATAAATCTATGCCTTTCCTATGTAAGTATTTTTCTCTGTTAGCTTTTCTACGAGTGAGTGAGTGAGTTTGGTTTTACGCCAATTTTAGCAATATTCCAGCAATATCACGACGGGGGGACACCAGAAATGGGCTTCTCACATTGTACCCATGTTGGGAATCGAACCCTTCAACCACTAGGCTACCCGACCCCCCCCCCCCCCCCCCCCTTTTCTACGAGGGTTGACTCATACGTTCTGCGCCTTACATAGAAAGACTTGCCCCAAAGACATTAAAATTAAGTATGTTTCAACATAATCCACTTCCACATTCATACACTTTTTTCCTCTTTTGGCTGAGCAAAATGTTAGATAGAGCTTTCTTCATTTTTGGGAACAGATGGAAGTCTGACGGAGCCACACCAGGAGAATAAGGTGGGATTTCCAGGACACTTGTGGTTTGTAGCCATGACAATGCTTTTACGCCGCTTTTAACAGTATTCCAATTATATCACGGCCTGTCAGCTTAATGTGGGAGGAAAGCCCGAAGTGATGCAGGTCTCAGACGTTTACCACTTCGGTGAAACCCACGAGCATGGGTATGGGGCTGGCAAACCTAGAAACATAACCGGGTGAACAGGGATTCGAACCCACAATCATAGGTTTCTGGCGTGTCCATGGGAGGCAACTCTGCACAGCGACTCGTGGGGCCTTAGACGACAGGGCCACCCCTGCCCCCGTCTCAGCACAGAAAAGCAAAGGCACATTTACAGTGTTTAAAGAACCACAAGTCCAGGGTCAGAAAATTACTAGTATCCATGGCGTCGTATCAGGCCGCAGCAAGTATTGGTGGTAACAATGTTTGGTGAGTGTGGGTCATCTTACCCCAACGGTGTGCTCTTGCTATCAACCACCAGTTAACCTTACGAAAAAAGTCTGCGAACTGCTGTGGCTTAAAACGACATTAAAACACCCACACACTTCATGTAGCAACCAATGTATTTTGATTGTATTCAGCTCTCTGGTTGATGACACCAAATGTTACCCTTTCTTGCCGTGCACTATATAAACGCTTTACCAAAAGTAGTTACATGTACAATTCCAGG